TGAGATTGAAGTTGGTTTGAAGCTAGCACAACGTTTTTGTTTCGGCATAAAATTTCCGTATCATCGGCAAACGTTGTGGTGACAACTGAACTACTTATCGGGATATCAGATGTGTAAAGTACATACAATATGGGGCCAAGAACACTTCCTTGTGGAACGCCAGCTTCTATTGGGAAATTATTAGAATTGTATGATTTACATTTCACTTTAAAGCTTCTATTATGCAGATACGATTCTAAAACTGAGTGGACATTTGCAGGTAATGAACAGCGTATCTTATATATGAGTCCATTATGCCATACTTTATCAAATGCTTGTTTAACATCGAGGAATACCGCGGAACAATATTCTCTAAGCTCAAATGCGTGTCTTATTTCATTCGTTATACGATTCACTTGCTCAATAGTTCCATGTTTTTCCCTAAAACCAAACTGGTGGGACGGTATTAAGTTTTGAACGTCAAGGAACGGTTTTAGCTTTAAAAGCAGTGCTCTTTGTTTTAGAAAGGCATGGCAGTAAGCTTATTGGCCTGTATGAACAGGCAAGCGTGGGGTCTTTACCTGATTTATGAATTATAATAATCATGGATGTTTTCCACTCTGTTGGATAAAAGCCAAATTTAATTATGGCATTAAAAAGTCTTGTGATAAAATTTATGGCCAAAAGGGGTAAGTTTTTTATCATGATGGGTGAGATATTATCATATCCCGGTGCTTTTTTGCAATCTAACTTATTTGTGATTATTTGAACAAGATCATTGGCCGTGATATTCATGTCAATAGATGGTGCTGGTGGATCTTGAGTGGGAAAGTCATATTGTCCTGCTGCAGGATTTGGTTGGAACACCTCTTTTAGGTAATCAGCAAAAACGTTAGATTTTTCTTCATCACTTCGCGCCCAGTTTCCAAGAGAGTTTCATATTGGAGAATTGGAGTCTATGGGAGGATTTATACCTTTGCTAGCATTCCACAAAGATGAATGGTTTTTGCCATTTGGACATAGGTTTTGAATATAATTATATTGTCTGACTTTGTCTTCCTTGCTTAATGCAGATCTAAGTCTTCTTTGGGCTTCCTTAAATAAGTTTTGCGCTAAAGGGGACCTAGATTTTTGCCATTCACGCCTTAATCTACGTTTTTGTAAAACTAAATTCTCTATGTCACTATTTGTAAGAACTCTATTGAATCTGTAAATTTTATTGCCTTTAGGGGTGGAGTTTTCTGCTGCTGAAATCAGAATTGAGTTTAAAACCGAGGTTGCGTCCTCAATATGAGACTTACACTTTATCTTGTAATTTGTGTGTATGTGTGAGTTAATATACTTTTTATATTTGAGCCAGTTTGTTTTAGGACTTGTAAGGCTATAGGAACAGTCTCGTAACTGAGGACCATCACGTAAGCAAAATGTAACTGGAGAATGGTCAGAAGACAAATCGCAGCTAGTGTATGTTGAGATAAAATTTTTGCTTATGCCTTTGGATACGGCGAAGTCTATTAGGTCTGGTATTTTATTGTTATCAGCAGGCCAATATGTTGGCTGCCCAGGAGAGATTACGTCTAGTGAATTTTTTCTATTTACAATTGAATTGCAGAGCTGTTTTCCTTTTGGATTACAGAGTCGTGAACCCCAATACGTGTGCTTGGCGTTGTGGTCTCCCGCCGCAAGAAATCTTTCACCTAGAGTTAAAAAGTAATCCGTAAATTGGGTCTCAGTAATGTTGAAGCGAGGAGGGCAGTAAACTGCCGATAAAGTTAAATTTTTTCCTGTGTGCTTAAGGTGTATTGATGTGGCTTGCATATAATTATGAGCATATGTACCTAGAAAATAGTGTTTTAGACACCTTCGTATCAAAATACCTGTACCACCATGTGCTTTGTCATCTGGGTGATTGGTTTTATAGAATAAATAACCAGGAATAGAAAAGAAATTTTTGTTAGTTAGATGTGTTTCTGAGCAAAGCTTTACATCCACACTTTCTCGGGACATGAAATTTGTGAGTTCAAGTTTAAGTTGGCTTAAGCCGTTTGCATTCCATGTACAAGTTTTTAAAGTACTCATTATTTAGATAAAAACATTTGCATTAATTGGCTTTGCATTTTAACTATCTCGTTAAGAGTAGTTTGCATGATTGACATGAACTGAGTTAAGCTCTGAGTGAGTGGAGATCATTATTTCCAAACTATTACTTTGAACTGGAGGGGCTTGTTGCTTGTCAGATTTAACGACATTAGCATATGAAACACCTGGTGTAACAGGCTTAGAAGTTAAAGGTTGAGGTACTTCAACTAATTTAATGGTGTTGCTTCTTGTAGAATTACGCAACGCTTCTTTCTGCAGAGCTAACCTGTGCTTTAGTTCTTTATAAATAGGACAGCCTCTGTAGTTTGCAGTGTGATTTCCACTGCAGTTGCTACATTTTTTGGAGTTGGTATCCTTTAATGCTTTTTTATCGCATTCGGAACTATGGTGAAGCTCGCCACAAGCTACGCACACTGTACGAAGAGTGCAATATGACTTAGTATGGCCATACTCTTGGCAGTTTGTGCATTGCACCGAACCATTTCTTTTGTGGGGCTCCTCAACGCTAATTCTGCGGTGAAGTAAATACTGTAGGTTGTAGATGGGATGGCTCTCATTTTTTTTAAGCTTAGAAACTTCCGGGTGAAGTTCAACTTTAAACATAGGTTGTGGGATTTTATCTTTGTTAACAATATTTATTACTGCTCTAGCGCTAAAGCCTTTTTCGCTTAGGACATTTGTTATCTCAATGGGTTCTACATCTGATTCGATACCTTTAATTACGATAACAAGGCCCTTACTACTCTTTAGTTGGTATGTGTAGTAATTTTTTTTGCTGTCTTCGAAATATTTGGTTATGACTCTAAAATTGTTTTCAGTGTCGATTTGGATTTTGGTTTCGTGTATATTGCCCCTAGTTATAGGAACAATATGAAAAGTATTGTTTCCAATCAGACTTGCAAGGATTGTAACGAGGTTATTTGAGCTGCGTTCACGCAAGTAGATTGGAGGCGGTTTAAAATTTTTGTTAATAATTATTTTATTTTTTGGACTTGCTAAGTCGGAAAATGCAAGCGAAGTTGCCGAAGGTGCAATATTTGACAAACTTTTGTCAGTTTGTGTAGTTTTCAGAGGCAATGTATTCGATGCGTCTATTACCAAATAAGCATTACGTTTACTTGGAATGCTTATCGTATGTCTTCTTTCTAGAATTTGATTGCTCATTTGCATACGTGGTTATATATGCAAATAGCAGGTGTGCTATAAGATTTACTTAATTTAACTACTATTAATATTAATTGATATTAAGTTAAATTAACTATATAAATATAAGTAAAATTAAATTAAATTAACATAAAGAAGAAAATAATAAAAATAAAAATGAAGATGTAAAAAATAAAATGAATATGTGTAAAATATTATACTTTATATTCTAATAATTAAACATATAAATAAAAACAAAAAGAGAAAAAAAGAATAATAATAATACTAATAATTATAATAATAATAATAATAATAATAATAAAATAATAACAACAATATATTAAAAATAATAAGGGAATAATAATAATAATAAAAGAACATTAAGAATAATAATAATAATAATAGAATAATAATAATAATAATAGAATAATAATAATAAAAAGAGAATATTAGTAATAATAGTAGAAGAATAATAAAATAGTAATTATAATAATAATGAAATAATAATAAAAATAAAATAATAATAACAATACAATAATAATAATAACAGAATAATAATAACAATAGAAAAATAATATTAATAATATATTACAATAATTATATTATATAATTATAATAACTAATTAATAATAACTAATAAATAAAAAAATTATAACTATAATATATTTAATAAGATTATAATAACAATAGAATAATAAAAAAATTGTGATAATAATAATGGAATAATAATAATTGAATAATAATAATAATGATAAGATAATAACAATAATAGATTAATAATAATAGTATATTATATTAAAAATAATAGTAATAATAATAATAGAATAATAATAAAAGAATTATCATAATAATTGAATAATAATAATAGTGAAAGAATAATAAAAACAATAAAATAATAATAATAACAATAGAATAATAATAATAATAGAATAATAATAATAACTATAAAATAGTAATAATAGAATAATAAAAATAATAGAATAATAATAGTAATTGAATAATAATAATAATAGAATAATAATAACGATAGAATAATAATAATAGATTATAATAATTATATTATATAATTATAATAACTAATTAATAATAACTAATAAATATAATAATTATAATTATAATACATATAATAAGATTATAATAGCAATAGAATAATAAAAAATAGTAATAATTATAATAATAATAATAATAGACTAATAATAATAATGACAAAATAATAACAGTAATAGAATAATAATAAAAATAATAATAATAATAATAATAATAATAATAATAATAATAATAATAATAATAATAATAATAATAATCATAATATTATTCATAATAATAATAATAATAATAATTATAATAACAATTATAATAATAATAATAAGTATAATAACAATTATAATAATAATAATAATAATTATAATAATAATAATAATAACAAAAATAATGAATATAATAATAATCATAATAATAATAATAAAAATAATGATGATAAGAATAATAATAATAAAAATAATAATAATAATGAAAATAACATTAATAATAATCACAATAATAATATTAGTAATAACATTAAAAGTAATAATTTTAATAATAGTAATTACAATATTAATAATAATAATAATAATAAGAATAAGTAAATAATAATAATAATAATAATAATAATAATAATAATAATAATAATAATAATAATAATAGTAATATTAATAATAATAATAATTATGAAAACAATAATGGTAATAACAATAATATTACCAATAGTAGATTAAGTGCAAATAGTAGTAAATTTAAAATAAATAGTGAAAAATTGGAGAGCTTTTTAAATAAATCGTCAACACAAGCCGCAGTTAAGTCGGCAACATACAACGTTTCGCCTGCAATTGCAATGACAACAGCAACGATAACCACAGCATCGACAACGAAACCCACAAGCACAACACAAAAAATGATACGCAGTCGTTTAAGCACTGACGGGTTACATAGAATACGTGAAAATGTAATGCTACCATCGGCGGATCCGGAACGAGAAGCACAAATCTTATATGAGAAATCATTGTTGGAATATCACGGTAGCGCTGTCACCTCGACGCCTACGACGCCAAACTATGGTGCTGCCAATAAAAGAAATGATGACAAAAGTAGTTCACCAACGCGCACTTTGCATAGCGTCTGTGAGATGTGGCTGCACAAACATTGTCACTGTACGGGCACAGTGCAACGCCTGTCCATAAGTTGTCGCAGCATTGGCATTCTGGCTGTGCCCGTAGAGCTGCCAAATGATGTTGTTGTCCTGTAAGTACTACCAAACAGCTTTGGAAAAATATTTCAGTTTACATTAAGTTCACTACGAGATTTTTTGCCAGCATCCAAAATGGCAGAAAAACTTTAAATCCCTACACTGCAAATAAAAATGTAGGAAATTAAATTTAATTTAATTGTCAGTATTTCAATTGCGGAAAAAAGATCAGAACAATACAAGTCTATTTGCGTAGATATTAAATTAACTTTAAACAGAATCGATTTGAACAAAAACAACATAAACAACAAAATTTTGGCAATCATTGTGGGTGTCATTCACTCAAGATTTTAATATTTAGAGCAGCAAGCATACCTAATGCATTAGGACAAAATGGTTTTGGGATGCATTTGATTTTTATTTCCAAAATTTGCATTTAATTTTTTTTTTTGCATTTAATTTTTTTTTTGCATTTAATTTTTTTTAAAGCAATTTTGAGTGCCACAGTGCTATGGCAATCCGAATTTCTCTGAGGTGCATGACCCAAATTTTTGCATACATTTTAGAAGCATTCCATGCGTACAAATTTTGAATTGAAAAAAGAAACGAAACATTTATTTAATTAAATATTTTGATTAACAATCATTTGATGTTATTACGAAAGATACCATATTTCATAGCAAATTTGAATCGACATCCACGACTGTTAGTCTTAATGACACTAATTTCGAATGGAAATGAAAATAATAACAAAACCAATATGAGTTCCTTGTCTTTTTGCATATAATTTGTCACTTTTTATATGAATAAATTTTCCAAATAGTACCACTATTCGATGATCTCAAAGCAGTAGAGTATGAATAGTCTGGCGCCTATGAAAGCTTTAACGATATATTTCATAGCAAATTTGAATCGACATCCACGACTGTTAGTCTTAATGACACTAATTTCGAATGGAAATGAAAATAATAACAAAACCAATATGAGTTCCTTGTCTTTTTGCATATAATTTGTCACTTTTTATATGAATAAATTTTCCAAATAGTACCACTATTCGATGAACTCAAAGCAGTAGAGTATGAATAGTCTGACGCCTATGAAAGCTTTAACGATCAATAGCAACATCTCATCTAGAAATGTATTAAAATGATATTGTCTTGCCTGGAGTTGAAGAAAACTCTATACATTTTGAGTTCTCGGGACGTGTAAAGAAACAGTAGAGATTATTAATGATGTCATTAACACAAAACTGTAACGAGTCATGATTTTAGCACTCAGAGTATACTCATAAAAACCAAATACAAATGAATATAAATGTTTTACTCACACACACTACTTATACTCATTCACATTCACCACAAAAATGATACATACGAGCTTTCGTTTACGAGTGCCGGTGCTAATGAATCAGCGTCAAAAGAGTACGTACACATATACTCGAGTATATGAGTATATATGAGTACATTCAATGTACTCATCGAATGTACTCATTCGCAAAAGTCTTGTGTGAGTGCTGTTGTTTACTGTTAAAATAATTTGTAATTTTTTCTTTTTGTGTGTTGATGTTATGCCTTCATTGTGTGTTGTTGTTGTTGTTAGCATTGTAAATACATGTATTTTGTTTAGGGTTTCTATTATTTTAAAATTATATACACATTAAACAACAACAAGCCAATTTTTGCCAATTGTGATGTATACTCATGAATGATTCATAAATCATTTGCATCATTTTTGTGTCAAGTGGCGGTGTTTATGAGTACCATATGAGAAGAGTATAAATTATTATAAGTGCTATCAGTTATATTAATGAATTAGGTGGAGGCAAATATACGAAGAAGAGAGTTAGAATGCCTATAAATGAAATACAGCTTATGATTTGAATATGACTCAAGTGTTGACAAATCACTGCAATTCTCTGGTCATTACGCTAGGTAACCAATTACCACTTAACAACTAAATTGATACTGACATGGATATATTTATCTCTTTAACAGAATAAAGAAAGGAAATAATAAAGACTTAATGCCTTCAAAGTACATACAACTTCCTGGAAGACCTAAATCACGTAACTAACCAATTTCGTGCACAATAGGACATTATCACTCTAAAGCATATGTTCATAACTGGGTGAAATGTAACATTAAACGTCGGAATATATGATCTGTGTCTGTGCAGAATTCTCAAAAAAATTATCAAAATACTTTGGTGTAATATAGTGTCTTAGTCCACAGAAAATTACAAAGCTTAAAATTATAACAATCCCTACAATTGCATATATTACAAAAATATTCTATTAATCAGTTGAAAACCAAAATAGCTTCGGTATGTATATATTATTGATATAATTCATAACTGAATGAAAGAACACTATAGCGGAAACGTAATGCTAAGAGAAACACATCTCAATTTAACCTTTACCTTTTAAATTATAGAGATGGTTTATATGGTATATATATATAATAAATCTCTAAAATTTTTTTTGTATTATAAATATATATACGCAGGGTATATGTTGAATAAGTACTTACCAAAATCAAAGAAGTCTTGAAGTCCAAAATGTCCCGGTTTTCTTATGATGAGTAATGGCGGTTTTGTGGAGATTTAGTATTGAGAAGACAAAATGAATATAAATTTATTAATTAAATTATTATTAATTATTAAGGGTACCGAATTAAAAAAATATATTTATATAAGGTTTATATTATTATAACTCTTATATTGCTTTTTAAATTGCATATTGTTTTTTAACTTACTTGAAATTTAGTTTAAAGAAAACCCCACTTTTTGGCTCTACGTTCTTGTATTGAAGAAGGTTCTTTCAAGAAAATGTATGCCTAACTATAAATAACATATATTCTCTTACCGAGAAAAGTTTTCTGAATTTGACTTCAATATCTATATTATCACATTTAAATAAATAGTTTGATATATTGTTTTTGGATAAAAAGCAAAGCAATCTGAGATTCAATTTTTCATGTTCAATAAGACGCGGACAATTTGATACCTAGGACACCTTTCAGTACGTTACAATCTCCTTGATTAACATTAGATATCAGTCGCTTTTAAATGATATTGTGTGGCTTATGGTAACACTTATTCTGATTGGTGCGAGCTAACAGTAATAGAGATAAGTTTCAGTGATCCATTGAAAATATCAAACTACTCTTATCTGTGTGTGGAACAACAGTAACACAGATTATTTTGATTTGGTAATACCAATTTAACACGAGATCTTTTTATATTGGAAAACTTAGAATTCATACAGTCTGATCAGAAAACTATAACTTGAAGGGCGATATTGCGGAGTCAGTCAAATGACAAATGATCATGTCAATTCATTCTATTACTGCTATTTTGATACAGCCTACAGCCCATTTTGAGAGGTAACATTTATATGGGGTATGGAATATTTGAGCCCAACCATATGGAAGTTTACATGTTTATTTCAAAAAGTCACAAATTTTGACATTTATTAGTGAGCTCATGTGTCAGTGCCCTTCCCTAGTCAGAAGAAGATTAAAAACCCTTGGATTTCCTTTTCTAAATGACCTGACTGAGTTGTCATCCTGTAATGTTAGGGACCTAGCCAAGTTCATAGAACTGTCAGGTTGGTTTTCCTTTACCTAATAGGGGAGTCGTTACCTTTCTTCGGCGTTGAATGTATACTGATTACAATCTATATACAAATCAACGTAACTCCTGTGGTACCACAATGGGCCATTATTTGTGCTTAAGTGGGTTTTTTAGGATACAAGGCCGCCACTCCAACCTAACCTAACCTAATGAGCTATAATTTTTTGTCAAACGTGATGAGATGAAAAAAGTTCCTTCACCGTAACCAAATTTGAATTGAATTTTCTGTCTTGCTCTCATGGTGAAGTTTTCAATTTACATAGAAAACAAATTTATATCTCAAATGACGTGACCATGACATAACCCTAATTAAAATAATATTTGTAAGTCATGACTTTAAACTTCGTTTTTATATCTTTAATTTATTAATTTATTTTAGTATTAAATTTACTTGTTGATTCTTCTTCTTGAGTTAGTGCTATTACGCACTTTTACTCTATAATGGCTGGGGAGCTTATCTCTACCCCACACTAGGCTTTAACTAGGCTAAGAAATCATATCATTTATTTGTCTTTTAGTTGATGACGGACCTTAAATCAGCATATCTTCCTGAGAGTCCAGAAGTGGACTTGAGGATTGTTAGGGCGGGGTTAACTAGCGTATCAACTTTAGTGAACAATTTTAGAGCTCTGTCTCTGATATATTTTTTTACTGAGTCAATCCTAAGATCTCTATGTAAGTCTGTTGATCTAATATACCATGGAATCTTAAACAGTCTTCTTAAAGCCAGGTTTTGTGCCATCTCTAATTGCTTTATAGTAATATTTGAGGCTTTGCTATATGTAACAAAAAAGGTTGTCTTTACTGTGATAGATATTTCGGGTTAAAGAAAAAAGTAATTGTAGTTGAATCAGCGATAAGCCATCGCAGCTATCAAGAATAGCTTAATTAAATAGCAGCCGTAAGCCATCACAGCTATCAAGAATAGCTTAATTAAATATAAAAATTATTTTTAAAAAACTTTTACTTGAAAATTATTTATAAGTTTCGACTACAAAATGGTTATATATATAAATATTTAAAAAAAATATATATAAATAAGCGACAAAAAACAAGCCACACTGGCCGTGACTGCTGTCAAAAACCGAAATGTAAGAGATTTTGATTAGAATAAGTCTTATATGTTGGTCAGCAAAGCGGCCCATTTATATGCCTTGTTAGTAAGTCATAATTTATCTATTACTTGAGTTGTTTTACATAAATAATTCCTTCCAAAGAGCGACAAGAAACATTTATTCTGCGTGCATTCAAGCATTGCCACCAAATACTTTTTATACTTATAAACTTATTTTAAATACCAAATAAATTACACACGTCACGCTCGTATCATTAACGCTTTCCTTGGAGCTTTGAATAACGTGCGTCACGTTGCCATAAATTATTAATTAACTTTTTAACATTTCGATAGTCAGAAGTGAATTGCGCTCAATATGCTCCAATGACTAATAAGAAAAGTCAAAGCTAAAGTCAAAACTAAAGTCAAAGCAGATTCAAAATCAGAAAACAAGTATAGAAAAATGTTAGTCTTAGCATAAATGCACGTAACATTTGTCATAATTCAGCAAACATACAATCCAACAAACGGAGTGATAGACAGACCTACAGATAGGCCTACAGACAGATCTACAAACAGACCTACAAACAGACCTACAAACAGACCTACAGACAGACAGACCTATAGATAGACCTACAGACAGACCTACAGACAGACCGACATATAGACGTACAGACAGACCGACATACAGACGTGCAGACAGACCTATAGATAGACCGATAGGCAGACACCTAAACCAACAGTTATGATTTCAACAAAGGGGCTTAATGCAGCGCATAAATTTTGCGTATTTGCATTTTTAATTATTGTTTTTTTTTTCCTTTTTTTTTTATTAAACAGAATGCAAGTCAACTCTTTTGGATTTCAGTTGAAAATTTGCATTTTAGGCCTTAAAAATTTTATTTATTGCAATTGCAGTGGAGGCTACGCAACTTAGTTGCAGCCGATAGGTGCACGATAACTGAAATAGGTCAATTATTTCAGTGGTTTATAATGTAAAAAATTTATATGCCAAAGGCATTTAAAAATATGTGAGTAATTTTTATTTATTTATTACTAATACCAATTATGTAGGCCTACACTCAAAAAAAATTATTTGAAATATAAGTAATGATTCTTACAGACTTTTTGGTGTTGATTACGAGGAAAATTTGGAAATAATTGCTTCAGGTACAATTTAGTAAAAAATACAATTTCAAATTAACTACTCATGGAGCAAACTATTACGCCAACGACCCAACTTTTCCGATGAGGAAACTCATCTTAAAGAATATGTACAAATAAAAGTATTCTCTGTTCATGGGATGATTATTCTCAGACGCACTTAATGACCTACGAGGTCAATCTTTTAAGTCTAGCACCTAACAACAATGGTTAATCAGTGAAATTATTTTATTGCTTTCCTTTTATGATTTAAAAAAGATATTCAAACTAAATGTCATACTATTCTCTATTAAAAAGTCCTTACGTGGTCAGATAAAATTGGGTCTCGTTTTGGAATTATAATCGGTTTCTAAATTAAAGCAACAAAAGTGCCATTAAGTAACACTGTTTTTTCTAGCAGTGATTGCCCAGATATAAATTACACTTCACTTCTGCTTCCGAACTTTTTTATACTAGGTATTAATACGGTATGGAACCAATACCAGCATAGCACTAGATGGACTAAAGCTTTCTCTAAAATTGTCTCTTAAACTCTACGCCAATTCACCATTGTTCATCGTTTAAAGGATATTTTTAACTCAATCTGTTTGGGATTCCTCTTCCTGCCTAATACTTTCCTTGATAACGGTTTTATGGAACTGTATAACAAATGACCAAGTCAACATATATGCAAAAAACGGGTCCAGTGACTTCATAAAGTCTTCAATGTATATTGCTAGACTTATCAATAGCTTTAATTTGTCGACTATTTCCAGAGTTACCCCAATCAATTTTTTTGGTGGTGTTGCACCGTTATGTCCTCATTGTCATAGATCTCTGATCAAATGTTGCTTTCTCTTAGCATGTTAGGATCAAAAAGTGTTTAAATTTTTAAGACACTAACCTATTATAAATAATTTTTTATGTAAATTAAAACACAGACTGTTTCGAAACATATACCGTAAAATGTATTTCCTTTAAACTGATTATATTTAATTAATAAAATACATTGCATGAATTTATACAAAGAATTTTGAACAACCAAATATACATACAATAAAAATTTTGATTTTTAAGGAAAAATGTATATAATTTGCAAAAACTTGTTTTCTTTTGAATTTAGTTCCGAAAATTTTTTTTGATTAACCAATAACTATACACCAGACTTGAAGCCCGCATTAGAAATTATAGAAATATTCCTCGAAAATGTAATTGACAATTTCCCTAACACGTGCATCATTACTACGTTGCAGACGATAGAGTGTCTCAAAACCATTGAACAATTCCAATTCAAAGCTTGTTTCATACACACACATATCTAACATGTTCTTCAATGCTTTTAAGATCGGAATTAGTAGTTCATTATCCTTCGATGTTAGGAAGCGGCACAAGTTTTCTATAATATGGTTCTGCTCAATCAGTACTATGATATCAGCTTCGCCACTGTAGCGTGTTAAATTATATATAACTTTAGCTGCGAGATGTTTAACCGCTACACAGTGCTGATTAAGGCCCTTCAAAATTTGTGGTATCAGACAGCTGCCGGCAATTGCTTCAACAACCCCATTGTTGAGAGAAGTTAGATTCAATAGAATACGAAAGGAGTACTTGCGTATCTCTCTGTTTGGATGGACCAATAACTCATAAGCGTAAACAATGGGGATGTGAAGCAACTGCGGATAAACTTGTACGTATTTATTAGCAGTAACCTTTGAAATCAGCTTTAATGCCTTGACTTTGACTACATTCGTTCTGTGTGCAAATAGTAGAGTGACCTGACTCATTAGTCCAATTTTGATTATTGTCAATAAAACACGTGGCTTGCTTAGAAAATCACCAACAATTTCTAAAACTTTCAAAGCTACCTCTTTGTTCCCATAGATTATTATTGCCTTGAATAAAGCTACCATATATTCGTCCACTTCTTTTGACACAGAAACCTTGTACTCAATAATGAAAAAAATAATATCAATTATGGTGTTCTGATATTTTCTTGCTAGATCAGATCTTGCCAGGGGCATTAATAACATAACAAGTTGATGCTGATTAACCATATAACTGACGAACTGTTTACCCTTCATGAGTGTTTTGCGCAAAGCGTGATCAACAATGCCGTATATAATTCCCTCAACGTCATATATATTGATTAACTCACGAAGCGTCTCGTTAATTGATTCCGCAGAACGCACAGAAGATGTAAAGATTCTGTTTGCCAACTTCAAAATGACAATTATGCTTTCATTTTGAACGTCTTCGTTTTGGTGGTCGATGCATGTGTCCCACTGATGTGTCAAGCATAGATCTCTTACGGCATCACCTATATTGTACTCCTCCAACTCTGTTCGAGACATTGACAACAAATTTTGGATGCCCGGGTCTAATTGGAAGCCTACATGAAGATTTGGATTTGCAAAGTATGAGAGTCCGGTCAATTGTTCTTCAGTGGTAACGAATACTTCCTCACTTTCACGACTTTCAACGCACTAGAAGTATATATAATATTTTAAGATTGTTTTAAATGTATGAAGACTTACCTCAAGCCAATCATTTTTAACGTTATAGTGTTCCATTGTGGTATGAGACTGCACAATTGCTGTGTAAACGGCTTCAGATAAACTACATGAAGCAATTAAAGAATTGTTATTATTACGTTAATAATTTAATTTAGCAAATTTATTAAATACAACACTTAATAATATAGTGTACTCAATTTTTCGTTCTCTTAACTGAAAACGTATTTTACGAGAAAAAAAATAAACATTGTTTCTTAAAAACTTCTGATTTGTCACGTCAAAATATTTACAATAAACCCAGAGTATGTGATTTAAATCAAATAAAATTTAAAATTATATATACAATATATGTTTATTTTTAAACTCAAGTAACTTCACACCAAAAATGCTTAAATAACAGTAGGACAATAGATAGTACTAGGTGTCCTATTTTAAGCAAGTGAGAGCAGGATGGATAGTATATATATATGGTGGGACGTTGGGACAGCGCACTGTCTAACAAGTGGCCTCACTGAGTTAAAGGATTAGTTGAAGTAGACCACGAAACCACTTGGGTACTTTTTCGTCCTTCGATTCTCGGATGTTGTTATTGAGTTAAAGCTGTTGTGGCTTCCGTTTGCATAACTACATATTTTATTAATGCAAACAGCTCATTTAGCTTGAGGTTTTCTGCCAAGTCATCACCAACCCAATGGTGTCTCAAAACAATCTTCCTCCTACTTGCCAGGCCTGGACATTGGCACAATATATGCACCGCTGTCTCCTTTTCTTCTAGACATAGTCTGCAAGTGTCTTCCTCAGGAAGAGTTATCTTTTTGAGGTGATATTCGAAGTTGCCATGTCCAGTATTTAGTGAGGTCAGTCAGCTTAGAGTGCTCCGCGAATAGCTAAGCACTTCTATCGTTTCCCTGGCCCACGATTTCGGCAACATGAGTTTGGTCTGCCTACAAGTGCTCAACTCTCTCCATCTATTAAGATGAAGTGAGGTTATCCACTTATAGACATAGACTGCAGTCATGTTGTAACTCAATGGTATTCTGGGGTCTGGGCCACAGGAATTATGGCTTAATCCTTGCTTAGCAAGTTCATCTGCCTTTTCGTTTTGCTAGGATGGATAGTAGATAATCGTAGTTTGATAAATACATTTAACGTTGTCTTTTGGATTTTGAGACAGAATATACGACAAATGCTAGTTTTTTTGTATAATTTATTGCTCAGGTAAAACCGCATTGATGTCCGCGTTTGAAAAAAGAATCAGTAAAAAATCAAAAAGTATCTTAACTGCGAAATATGTTTTTCGTTACACAGAGTCCCTGCCTTCTCTTTCACTAATTCATGTATTCCTCATAAACTTTGCTGATTATTCAATGACTGATCTAAGATCTGTATATGTTTTCGCGTATACCTTGAAGGCTCTGTCTTTTATATATTTTTTAACCGAGTCTATTTTGAGGTCTTTTAGCGTGTCATTCGTGCGGATGTGCCATGACACTTTGAAGAGTCTTCGGAGAACCTAACTTTGAGCAACTTGTAGCTTATGAATAGTCCAGTTGGCAGCTTTGCTATACATGACACAACCGTAGAGAAATACCGGTCTAATTATCTAACTGTAGATCAACTTTTTGTTCTTTGCATTGCAATGTTTTCGCACAACAATGTCTTTTGTCTTGTATGGACTTGTGCCAAGTGAACCTCTTTTTAAATGTGATTCCCAGATATTTGATGTTGTCCTTCCCATTTATCGTGATGTCGGAAAGATGAAATTTATGTTTCCCTTAAGAATACATAAAAAGGATTTTACCATTAAAAAAGTTTCTGTCTATATTTGGTCAACGGCAAGATTAATCTTGTCTTTCATTATACAGAGTTCCAATGTGAAAAACACTTTGAAATGGTAATTTTAAAAAGTTGTAAATGTACTAACAGAAAAATGTGGACTGCATCGATACTTAGAAATATCAAATATTAACCATTAGCCTCGAAACCAGTAACTCATTCGAATCAATAACAAAAACCACAAATTTCTCTCTTAATAGATTTTAACTCAAGTTAGTTACTGATTTCTTTATTGGATATATGACTATGTGTTGAGTTTACTACGATCTGTTGAGTGTCAGGAAACGTATCTAATATCTTCATTCGGCTGAAAATAAATTGAGTCTGGTTCATAAAATTTGTTCAAGTTTGCTTAGAGGATTCCTAACAGGAATAGTGGAACAGAGCTCATAGGTCATTGAGTACCATTTCACTCACAGGTCTCTGGAGTGAATACAAGGACCTGAAAATACTTTAAAAATCTATATAGCTTTAGCAAAAATAGCTTTACATGATCTCAGTTTAATATAGTGCCACATCATCTCAACAACGCTTCAACCACATAAGAAGTATTTGTTATGTTTATTAAGGTAAGATTAATAAAAATTAATAAAAAGATAAAATAATAGAAAAAAAAATAGGGGATTGAAAAATTCTTATAATATACTACTAATGAACTCTAAAAAAAATTTAGTTCTTAGTATATTTCTTTTGGCTCAAAAATTCGTTTCGAACCGTTCGTACTGTTTTTGTTGCTGGAGTATCTGTCAAAAGTTTTTCACATACTAGAATCAACGAAGTGCATTTTCTATACTGCATTTATTTTGTATTTTTTCGTATATTTTTAAACTCTTATCAGCGAAACTTTTTACAGTGTTATTGTCTTATGAAAAGTTTTTGAAAGTTTTATTTTGCACTCTGCCAAAAATACTTGCAGTTGCATTATTCATTCGTTCAAAGTTTAAGTCAGTTCCGGGTTAAATGTTTTTATGCAATGATATGCAATAAATACGCTACTAGTCAGCATTAAAAAAGTATAAATATCTTTATTAGTGAACTCTATATCTACTACTTCACATTTATGTTGTCCTTGTGAAAATGATTTTAACTCTTATTTGACAAAAATTACTGTATGAAATGCATTTGCTGCAAGAGCCAAAGGATGTAAATCATAAAACCCAATATTTTATTTATCAACTTTCTATTCTAGTTATACAGTATCTTTACCGATAAAATCTTATAATTTTGTGACATAATTTCTTACTCTTATATCTACGTATATTAAATTTTTATTACCTGAGTATTAGGTCAAAATTGATGTTACTTGAGAAATGGTTAAACACTTTTCTAAACACTTTTCTGCACAATCTTTTATTATTATTTATTGTTTATATTTTTGGCATAATTATTATGTTAGTAATATTTTAATAATTATTTTATAATAATTAATAAATATTAATTTAATAATTTCTTCGTATTTTTAATCACTTTCATATCATTCAACACACTAATATACACTAACGAGTGTTGTTTTAATTACATGAAAATTATCGATATCGTATATCGATAACTATATTTTGACAGCTGAGAATGCCAAACTTTGCTGACATTTCTGTCAGCATTACGTTGACGAAATTTACATTACCAACTTTACACAACGAACATTGCTAAAGTCAATTTAGCGTTTACATTATCGTTTTGGGTTCTAATTTCGATAATAACTTTCAACTTCTATAGTATTTTTCTATATGCCCAAAAATTAGAATAAATTAATATCATTTCAATATTTCAACTCAAATATTAAATATCTCTGAAAAAGTCTTGTTAACTGTTAACTTCCCCACGATTATTTTTTATAGGGCTAACATATATTAAACCATTGGTTAGTCATTAAAACTCGTGAACCCAATGTTCATGCCACCATTGACGTCATACCGCCACATTTATTGCAAAAAAGAATCAAAAATTGGACTGATCGAATGGACCGTGTAACTCGTAGCCACGTCGGACATATGCCGAAAATCATAGTTAAAAAATAAATGCCATGGTAGTTAATTACCAGATTATAACAAAAAAAAAGATTTCATTCCAACAATATTTCCACCTTGTACTATCAGTTTAAATTCTCCTAAAGCTAAAGAATACTCGTTACTTTTTGCTCTTTCCGACTATCCTCTGAACGTATGAATATCGTAAAATATAAGTATAAGTGAGTTATATAGTGGGAAACCACAATTGGGATATTATCAATGAGAGATAATATATTACAAGTCAGGTTAAAGTTTTCAACTAGCAATAATCCCACCTTAGTAGAACTTCAACGGTTACGATATAGCCTCTGCGCAAAGGGATATCGATAGGCGGCGAAAATGCCATAGCTGTAAGCTTTATATATATATAATATACTTGTTATAAATTTCTAAATACTACTACTATTACAAGTTAGCAAAAATAAATGAAATAATCAGTATAAACTATATCGAGTTATTTCAATTTTCCATAGACTTTTTATGTACATTGGACACTATAAGCCCAGTAATAATATAATAAGACGCATTGAAATTAAGTGATATACCCGGAAACTTTAATATTTCATTTAATCATATATTTGAGGAACATTTGCCATAAGAGAAAAACCAACAGATATCTTTTAATAAACAAATGAGGCCAATAAGGATATGTACTCGTATTTCTACATTAGTGATCCACATTAGTGATCGCAATAGTAATTGCTGGACCACAGTGATGTTTGGTCACTGGAAATATTTCCAAACAGTAAAAAACATGTATAAATAAAGAAAATATTCGGTGTCGATATCATTATTAACATTATCCAATATTGAAGCTATTGTATTAAAGAAAGAAAAATATACATATCATGTCGTCCACACCGAGATATCTATTGTTTATTGTTATGGCATCACAGTGGCTGAGAGGAGGGGAGCTAACTAACTTTACAATGAGTAATGATATTGTTGGTAAAGAATTGGAACGCGTGTTCCCTTAAGTGGAAAAAAGCTATTATTTTGCTATAATATTGTGTATCCAAAATTTTAATCAATTTAAAACTTTCATTGATTGCTTCCATTATCTAAATAAATAAACTTGAAAAATTTCAACTTGCTTATTTTTTTCTCTAATGAATCTCTGCATTATTTCCCGCACTATATATATGTCTGTATCAATTTAACATTATAAATGATATCTCTTGACTAAACAGTTCACTGGTTTTAATCTTAATGAATTCATATACAACTACTAATTAACTTCAGCTTTGTTATTTCTTAAATTGTTTTAAATCAATGACAAACAAAGCATTCACTGCTTTGACTTTACTTTAGTCCCTAAAAGTAGCGCTTCTGTTGGGATTGTGTGTGCTTTAGTGGAGTCACGCACCGACTTTGTTCCAACATTTACAAGTGAAAAAGAAAAATCTTATAAACAAGAGAAAAATTAAACAAAAAAAAAAGTAATAAAAATAAAAATAAACACTTGTCTGCGACAACATTTATTGGTTTGAGACCCTTTACGAAATTTTCTTTAACGCTTCAGTAGAACTCTGGAGCGAAATAAGTTAGGAATATGTTCCTCTAACACATTTCGTCATTTTGCGGTCATTGCTATATTAACTGCTACCCCAATTTATTATTCCTCTTAATGAACCTGCACTAATTTAAGTTTTTATCAGAATGAGGCAATCATATGCCGCCCATTGTACATTTCATCAGAAATGAAAATGTGAAAAGTCTTTCTTAAATTGGAAATGGTAGTACCTAGAATTGCTTATAAAGTACTAATTCGATTGTTGACTTTTAGTTCACGACAGTTTGATGAAGAAGTCATCTTCTTTAATTTTCTTGTCTTAATGCTACTGTTGGATGGACATTACAATACATTTATGAGGCCAATAAATTTGTATCATATCTTGATTTATATCTTTTATAGGACACATAATAAATATTATATAAAGAACTCTTTCAATTAGTGTATTTAATGTAGGACTTCGTGACCGCTGAAGAGAAATCAAATATTTTTAACACATTTTAAATTCATATCTCAAATTAAGTTTATACCTTTATATATATCTGTGGTCTTGGCAAAGGAATACAGAAGAAAAAAAGAGAACTCTATTCGAAAAGGCTACCAAGACTATCACAATCTAAAATGTTTTTAGAGACTTACAACCTAAAGATTGCATAAAACAATCAAAAAATAACCTCAGTATCATAAAAGTATTATTGACCGATCACTGTAGATTGAATAATCACCTAACGAAGTTAAGAATTCAATCCAACTCGGACTGCAGATACTGTAGAGATGAGAGAGAAATTGCATACCATGTGTTTCGAGAGAGTCAGGCACTGATACATAAGCGAAAGAAACACCTAAGAGAGTATTTCATGGATCATAAGGATTCAAGATTAGGAAAAATATGCTCTACACTGTCTTTCATTAAAGAAATCGGACTTGGAGAAACACTCTAATTCAACTAAGGGGCGCAATAGGTATTTTACCTGTTTTACCTTACCCTTTTTCAAATAATAATAAAAATATTATATATACGAGTATATATCTAATGTAAATATTGAAAAAATTTTATTCAATTTTTGTTTGTTTTTATTCTCAAGAAGAATGGACATTTTAATTGATGTGGTAGAAAGTTGTCATTATGTGATAAAGAATAAGGCTTTTATAATAGGTTTATTGAATATATGTGTAGCTAACACAAAAACGTTAAAGATACGGAAAAAGAAAATAAAAGTTTTAAGGGGTTGTAAACAAAGTTTAGGTTAAAGTACATGAAACCTACTACTTGGACACAACAAGATTTGAATGGGGAATGGGAAAATTTTCAAGTGGCAACCGTGGTCCCGGCACTTAGGCAAAACCTTGTTGCTTAGTAACATATTACAGAATTTGCGCCTTTTAGAAGGAAAGTACTGCAATTTTAATATGTTTTGAAACAAAAATGTCAAGAAGGAACACAGCCTATTTTATAAAGCGATAATAAACTAATTCTCACACTTTTCGATTTCAAGGAAAGGTGTATAATTTTGTAAGTACTGTTAACACAATTATTATAAGATAATATAATAATAAAGTAAAATTTTTTTATGACAGCCTCCATGAATTTTTTCTTGTTGATTTTTTTTTTGTGGCAAATTAAAAGTGAGCCTATCTATATTTCCTTTTAAATTTAGGCACCAAGCGATACCAAAAAATAGTAAAAATACGAAATTAGCAATACTGATGTGATAGTCTACATAAATGCATTTTCATCATAGCCCGAAAGAGCCAACTTTTGTGAATAAATGTTACGTGGCCCAACCACATAACATATACCGACCACCTATGGGCCGTTACAAGTGAATCTCCTGCTACTGTTGAGACAAGAAGACGCAAATCGCACTGAATAGGTCACAATCTTCACAGACCCCATGAAAACATTGCACGCTAAACTATGAGATGGAGTCCTTAAGGCAGCCGTCGACCTTAAGCGCCGGTTAAAACTTGACGAAAGACAATTGAAAAAGAGCTAAGAGAAACCAATTATTTCTGGAATGATGTCTGCCGAGAATCAACTAACAGAATCTGATATAAAATGATGGTAGAGACCCTATGAGAATCTCCACTGGGAGATGAGGATAAGAAAGAGAGAGAGAGAGAGAGAGGCACTTTATATAACAGGACCCTAACATAGCAAAAATAATTTAGGATCGTGAGAGTACAATCTCAATAAAATACATACTTTTATACTATTTCGAAGTCATTATAGGATTTTTATATTGTCAATACTTCATAGTTGACGTATTTTATGTTATCCTCACATGCAAATTTTAATATATCCTCCATGTAGCGCTCATTGTTTAGCGAGTGTTTGTTGTCGTGTTTGTTGTGATGTCTGTTGTAGTTATTGAAATTCCTTTAAACATGTTCATCCATAATTCAATAAAACAATCCTTAGACTAGTCATTTCTACAGACTTTCTACGCTCGTTGGATTTAGTTTGCACTTTGTCCTACAAATTGTTTTTCCACTGCACTTCAGTACTTCAGTGTTGTTTTTGTAGTATTTTTCTTTTGTTCTGGAAGTCGAATCAAAAACCGAAACAAAATAAAATACTGGGAAGGAGGACAGCAGGCGGCGACTTTCGTGCCACACTTCCACACAATTTCTCACTTCAACACTTTTTTATTGTGTCTGTGGAACACGTTATGTCCTTAGCATTTGGATCTGTTTACACTGAAGTGTCCTCGCACTGCTAGTTTTGCGCTTTCAATGCAGTCTCGGTTGCTTTTCTTGCCGCTTATTCTTTCGGTTGTCTTTATTTTTTTTTTTTTTTTTTCTATTGACACTTTTTTAAGTATTTTTTCGCGTTTGTGTTTACATAAACAAAAATAGCTCTCCTTATTTTTTTTCTGTGTTGTTGTTGTTGTTGTTATCACATTATGTCAGCCACTTTAGTCCATATTTTTCACACCGCTGCTTTCGCATAAGTTTCGACTTGATGGTGTTTTCGACATGGTTTCGATTTTGATTGATGAAGTAAATGTATCCTCACAAAGTTAAAAGCAAAGAAGGAGACGAGTTGTAGTATGAGGTGTAGGAGGAATAAGAGGATTAGAAGGAGGAAGAGTGAATTTGTCGGAAGGAATTATGTAAAGAAAAACAATCATGAAATTTTATATATGAGTGTAAACAGAAAATTTGTGGTGCAGTTTTACATTAATTGATAGATCAATTATATCTGAACCATTCAAATGTTTTCTTTTCAGTAGACGTCAATATAAGTGTAGTACATCGAGATATTAAAACTGTTTTTTATATTGAATTTTTTTTAAATTTTTACTTACTTTTCTACGAACGTACATTGATCGAACTAATTAACTGTTGTAAAGTTCTTCAAATCGTACTACACACCTTTAGTCCTGACAATATAGTGTTAGAGATACGAATGCGATGAAGAATCGTATACCTATAAATTTGAAAAAGGGTTTTAGTGAAAAATTTTGAAAGTTTTTACTTACTTCTTAACGCACGTGTATCGATTGAACTAATTAACTGTTGTAAAGTTCTTCAAATCGTACTACACACCTTTAGTCCTGACAATATGGTGTTAGAGATACGAATGCGATGAAGAATCGTATACCTATAAATTTGTAAAAAGGTTTTAGTGAAAAATTTTTTAAAGATTTTACTTACTTCTCAACGCACGTGTATCGATTGAACTAATTAACTGTTGTAAAGTTCTTCAAATCGTACTACACACCTTTAGTCCTGACAATATGGTGTTAGAGATACGAATGCGATGAAGAATCGTATACCTATAAATTTGTAAAAAGGTTTTAGTGAAAAATTTTTTAAAGATTTTACTTACTTCTCAACGCACGTGTATCGATTGAACTAATTAACTGTTGTAAAGTTCTTCAAATCGTACTACACACCTTTAGTCCTGACAATATGGTGTTAGAGATACGAATGCGATGAAGAATCGTATACCTATAAATTTGAAAAAGGGTTTTAGTGAACAATTTTTTAAAGTTTTTACTTACTTCTCAACGCACGTGTATCGATCGAACTAATTAACTGTTGTAAATTTACTCAAATCGTACTACACACCTTTAGTCCTGACGATATGGTTTTAGAGATACGAATGCGATGAAGAATCGTATACCTATAAATTTGAAAAAAGGTTTTAGTGAAAAATTTTTTAAAGTTTTTACTTACTTCTCAACGCACGTGTATCGATCGAACTATATATATCTGTTGTAAACTTCTTCAAATCGTACTGCACACCTTTAGTCTTGACGATAAATTATTAGGGATACGAATGTAATGTAGAATTATATCTATAAAGTTGAAAAAATAGGTTTTTGTGAAGAATATGAATAAATCAAAACACGATATATGTGAATTTTAATATTTCTTATTTAATAATATTTTTTATATATTTAATAACCGGCCACTGGTCACCTTTTTAAGATTGAAAAACCAAGTCGAGAAACAAATTCAAAATTTAATAATTTTTATTTAGTATTTTTGACGTTTCAAAGTTTCTTTGACTTTTATCTCAAGGCACATGAGTTGAATAACTAAATCTATAAATTACAAGTTTAAAAAATTTGATTAAATTCTATTCACATTCCCCCAACAGAATTTAATCAAATTAAGAAACACACTTATAAACAAGAGCTACCCATCAAAATTTATAAATGGATTAATTATGGAGATGAAACCAATGAGAATGAAACATATGGGTGAACATCAAATAATATATATGGTACTTCTATTTTACCACTTTATTATTTAATAAGAAAAATAATTTAACAAGCTTGAAAACCAACTGACTTCTGGAAAAGCCAAGAATTCAAGTGGAAACAATAGATTAAACCTATATAAAGCTCAAGAACAGCGTACCTAACTTCTGAAAATGACAAAAAGTTTAAACTAATTTTTAAACTAATTTAAATGGAAAACAAAGATTAAGCCCAGCTGAGGTTTAGAAACAGTGCCTAACTTGTTTTGGAAAGGAGGTGTAGTTAAGGTTTAACGCTTCCTTGCCTGTCCAATTTGCACATATCCCACATATGATTATTACGATTCAAAATCAACGGAAGAATTTGATAAAACAGATTATTGTAGGAAGATTTATGCTTAGAATATCGATTATTTCTTCTTCTCGTTGCTTATGCCTTTGACAAAGTGAACATTATTTTACGAAGAATATTAGGATGTCCCCAAATCTCGTTAATTTGAAAACTTTTATTGTTCGATCATCTTGCACAGGAATATATGCAAAGTAAATGTCGTTCCAACTTAAGCATTTAAGGTTGAAAGATTCACTGTCTCGTCACCTTCGCGGGTGAAAAAGTGAAAATAATTTTAGGAATATTTATTTTCATGATGTCCCCAAATCAGGCTGAGTATATTCAAAGAAATTGTTTAGTTATTTAAATCATCTCTTCTTCTTCTTAAATACAGCACTACCCAATGGGATGTCAGTGAAGCCACTAGTTTCGCTACTTGGATGCTAGCTATGCCAAGTGGGATTTTCTTTTTCAATAGAGTGGAGCTTGACTAACTTAGTTTGGCCAATCCATTGTAACATAATAGGTATATATTTTTTCGTTAGTCTTAAAAATTTATTTTCAAATGTTTTTAAGCAATATTTTTATGAAAGCAGTATTTATTCTTCAGCTAAGGTTGTCTTCGATTGTAGTTTAACTAGTTCATCACATTTACCTAGTTATGTTTAAACACATAACTTCAACTGTTACCGGCGGAATTCCTCGGAGTTCCAATGGAGCTGTCATCGGCGTAATATATGGATGCGTGTGTTAAGAGCACCGGGCTGTTAAGCCTTAACGGCAGGAAATCACGTTAAATAATTCTGGGCTTCTGTATACAAACAGAACAAATAGCTTCATTAAATACGAAATTAAGTTAGGAAACTTGGAACCTACTCATATTGCTGTGAATGAAAAATAATTTGTTTTATCGTCTACAGAAAACATCCCGCCTTCCGAATGAAGGCCAGAATATCGGCCGTTGAGGATCTCCTAATGTCAGAGAGTGAGAGTAGTTCTCGACCCAATGACCTCCTCCTGGCCCAGATCAAGGCTGGGCGCAATGTGACTGGAAGTCTCGTCTGCTTCTAAACAGTGTCGACAATCTATCACTTTGGACAGACCCATTTTATTAAGATAATAAAGCAGTCCATGGTGACGCATGAAATATACCACTAGCAACGCTGTTCTGCTGAGGAAGGATACCTTAACGTAACTGTAGAGATGAATCAGATCTTTAGCCTGAAGGTTACTTGAAATATCGCGCCAGTAGCGACTTCTCTCGGTTGAAACCCAATTATTGATTAGAGACCTAGTTGTAGACCAACTAAATCCACAATAAGGTTTCGGTCCACAGATTTGAGTGGCAGATCCTGCCCTCGCAAGATTGTCGGCAGACTCATTACCATTGATTCCTGTGTGACCACGCATCCAGTAAAGCGTCTATGTAACTGTGATCAATTATTAAAATAACAGATAAATAAATGATTAAATATTAATTTGGTAATTATTTGTTTGTATTTTAAATCCCAAAAATGGCATAAAATATAGATATGCCCATTAAACGAAACACTCTGACTTCTCCGCCCACTAACTGTACCAACTAATTGACAGGGAGCATATTTTTACATTTAATTAAGCATCTGGCTTTTTTTTAATGATTTTTTTAATGATTTTTTTTAATGATTTTTTCTCCTGTTTTTGTGTTTTTAACATATTTTTTAGTGAGCAATTTTAATAATAAAATTTCTCGATATAATTTTCATTTTATATTAACTCTCATTATGTCAATTACATGAAAAGCAAGCGAAACCACATAGCCGCAAATTTATTACAAATTTAAATAAACAATTAGCCAAATTAAGGCAAATTTATATTTGCAGAAATTACAATGGCTGTGTAGTGTTGGAAAACGCTACGTTCGCTGCACCTCAACATACGTTATCCTTGAGCATCTACCGTACCCGATACGAATAGAACGCTTTCAGCACATGGGAGATGTGCTTATTTACCTGTGCAAGTACTCATGCCCTCGTGATTTGATTCATTTGAATCCATGTTAGCACTCAACTCATTCAACAAAACTCCTAAATTAAAGTTAAACGAGCAATTTTATGCTTATTTAACTTGAAATTACAAACTTTTTATATATACAATTTTACGACTTTACGCCCAGGATGTGATGGAAATTGTATTGAAGGATGTGTGAAAAAACGCCTGTAACTAAGGACTTGTCTGTCTTTTTGATATTAATAAATGCCAGCCTTACTACACTAGTGTTGGAAAAAAATTTTAAATGCAAGAAATTCCAAGGATTATTTTGAATGTTCAACAGAATTTAATGGGTATGGGTATTTGCAATTTGTAGAATGTGATGTGTAAAATACAACAATTTATTTTAAAAATATTCCAGAACAAATTTTTAAGGAACTACAAAGGATTAAATAACTTAATTATTCACAATTTTAGAGGATATGTTATTCAACTACTACCGAATATATGAACTAGCAAATTTTCTTGATTAAATTTTTCATACTCACTACATGTGTTCATATATAAAATCGTTCAAAGGCTTAACTATTTTCACTCATATTAGTTTACTTAACTAATTCACAAGCATTATCGTCGCTTACAAAGCGTCCAGGTCGGGTGGTTTAATCAGCTTAAGGAGTCTCTTCATCTATTTCTGCTTCCCGCTGCTTCCTAACAATTTTCAGCAACATTACATTCATCCTACTTCACATCACCTATTCTTAAGTACATTATCCTTAGATAATAGTCAGAGCCGATTATTTTCCCATACGATCTGAAACTGTTGTCTTCTACATGTTATTTTATTTGTGTATTTCTTAGCGTCCCCGGCTTTTACCGTACCGCACTTAAGGTTTTACTCCATTCGCTTCAAGCCCAAGTTGTATTGTTGCAGTTTTATTTTGAGCATATCTCCTCAAATCAATCCACAGAAAACAAAAGAAGTCAGAATAAACAATCGAATTGACTATCCTTTGAAATTGTTGAGACCATTGAACGCGTAAATGTATTCCAGTATCTATCAGAAAACGGAGGAGATGGAGATGATGTGATAAGTAGAATAAAGAAAGCCTTGGGTGCTTTCGTAAAGTGTGGAGCTCCAATACCTATAGTTTTCGCACAAAAATAAAAATCTTTAAAGCATGCGTTCTTTCAGTTCTCCTGTGTGGTTTCAAAACTTGGTCAGTGACGGAAAACATACAAAGCAAGCTGAAAGTATTTGTTAACCGCAGTCTCCGCAGAATTTTGCGTATTTTCTGGCCAAACAGAATATTAAAACAAGACCTTTGGACCAGAACAAATGTTAGACAGGTCAACCTTGAAATGCGCAAAAGAAAATTTGAATGGATCAGGTATACACTTCGAAAGGCTCCTATCGAAATTTGTCAACAGGCGTTGGTATACAAACTGTAAGGTAGCAGAGGAAGAGGTCGCCCAAAAACAACATAGAGATGGTCAACGTTAAATGAAATAAATACCGTTTTGCAAACCATAGGAAGAAGAAGAAGCAACATTACTGATATAAACGACGTAGCATTGCGGCGGGAAAGGTGGAAGCGACTTATAGACAGCCTATGCCCAGTCTAAAAGACTGCTCAAAATCATTGACGCCGAGCAAAGCTTATTAGTATTATTATTATTATATCTTCTTTTAGCTTACGGACATCACTTTTTTTTAACTCGATGTTGATGACTAGATTTGATAGTTTCCTCTTTGTCTCTTAATCATTTATGAATAGTTACTTGGAATTACATATTGTTTTGGAATTTTACACATGTTCATCAATTGGGTCACCAATCCAACTCATACTTTGAATACGAAATCACCTATTTATAGAATCATAGAAGCTACTTATAATAATCTATATCTACACAATTGATATTAGTATTGTATATGGTAACTTTTTCTAATATCTTTCTGGTGATAGAAAGTTAAACCATAGTTTAACATAAATATATAGGACAAAAATGATTTTGTTTTTGATAAGAAATGATGACAGGAATCAAAAATTTGAAAATGAGATGCCATCACAGAAATCGTAACAGTTTTGAAGGTTTCCTGAATATAGGTGTTTTGGATTTCATTATAATTTCTCGTTTGAAGCGATTGCATACTCGATTGAGTTAAGAGTTATTTAACGTGATTACCTGCTATGAGGGCTTATCACCGCAATGCTTTTAACACATGCATTGGTATAAACTCTTGCATTGGAATTCCAAGAACTTTTGCTGGTACTAATTGAAGCTATACATCCCTCTTGGTAGGGAGCGAAACTTATCTTATATCTCTGCTGTTCTTTGGGTCATAGCACCTGGCTAGAAAATGCAACAACCAAGTTACCTCTATATAAACGGCGACTTTTATTGGTCAAGGTAGCGGAAGCTACGAAGCTAATCCCCATTGTAACAGACTTACAGCTCCGGTCGTTTCCCGGGTCTAATACTCAAGCAGTACCAGGTGGTGTCTAATAAATTTTAGTTACGACAGCCGTACCTAATTTATATTAAAAAAACTTTATTATTATTAGAAATAACATAATACGTCAGGAAGATATGCTTATCTACGGTCCGTCATGAGTTAGAAGATAAATAAATGATAATGATTCCAGTATAGTTAAAGTTTAGTGTGGGGCAGAGATAAGCCCCCTAGCCAAAAAAGTGCGCAATAGCACTAACTCAAATCACAACAACAACAACATAATACGTCACCAAATATTTCAGTCTGGGTACGTGGGTACGTAACACTTGCACCTATTGGAAATGGACGAAAATAATAGTTAAGGCAGACTTTCTGTATTATTTGTCTTTTGGTCATGACCAGAAAAAGCATAAAAATGCTATAACCATTCGTCATATGACTGTCTGTATAATGAGCAATTTTAATGATATTATCATTATAAGGCACAACTTTGTTCATTGCTGCATTACCTTGAGCTAGTCGGAGAAGTAGATGTTATGATGTTTATGATATTATATCATTTCATCAATAGATTACTTCAACAGCAGTTGAAATATTTAAATAATGCATAATGCAGCTAATGAATAAAACGGTCCCGTCTTTTATGAAGAGTATAGTTACTTACTTACTTATGTGGCCATTTCAACCCGTTACCAGGATTCGGCCTGACGCAGCATTTCTGTCCAGGCGTCTCTGCTGCGTGCGCGCCATTTCCAGTCTTGTACATCAAGTCCGTTTAGTGCACCTTTAACTTGATGACTCCACCGGAGATATAATCTACCTCCAAACTTTCTTTCTCCAACTAACGATTTAAACACCTTTTTCGCTGGCGTATCTTCAACCATTCTCATAAATGGACCGAGCCATCGAAGCTGCTGGATGTTAATTAACTGAATTATAAGAATGTCGTATTAAAACTCATACAGCTCGTGATTCATTCATATGCGATAGTCATTGCCAAACACTCTCTCTAACACTCCTAGTGTTGCTTCATCATTCTGTGATAACGTCCCTACTTCTGCGCCATACAAAAGTACAGGAATGCTGAGCGACCGTAAGTTTTGTTTGTCGAAAGAGAGCTCTACATCCCAGTTGCCTATTGAGCCCATACTAGCACCTATTAGCCATAGTGATATCCATGTTGACATCGTTGTTGTTTGAAAATATAGTCGCTAGCCATTAGCTCAGCATCTGATCGACACCTATTTCTACCAGTAGCCGACATGTACTTCGTTTTACCTTATCTATAGTACTATATTCGTATATCTTTTTTCAGTATGGATTATAGAAAAATCAATCATATATGATTTCAAATAATTTTATGGAAATATTTCGAATCTCCACCCCTGTCATTTGATTTCTCTCAATAAATCTATTAAAATTTAATTGACAACGCATTAGATTAATACAAATTTCATCAGTTATTCATACGTAACCGCAAATGAAGCCGCGAGCACTTCTCGTTTGCATAATTAAGTACATTTCTATGCGTTTTAATATTTTATGCGCTTCTTAAGTTGAACGCGATTCACATTACATTTCACTTCACACAAATTACAATATTGTTTCGTATGCTACACATAACCAACTATACACACGGCTATGCGTTCGTCTCTGCCTTCGTCTGTGAGCTCGTCTCTGCGTTCGTCTCTGAGTTCGTCTGTGAGTTCGTCTGTGAGTTCGTCTGTGAGTTCGTCTGTGAGTTCGTCAGGCGAACACATCTGCCTGCATTGGCAAAAGTTTAGTGTGGTTTCATGATGAGGTTGTGCTTTTCGGTGCTGAGGTAGGTCTGTTGTTGGTGTTATTCGCAGAAAGAACGTGCGTGGAACGAGTAGAAATGAAATTGAGTGTAAGAAAAATGTTAACACTTTTTCAAGTGTAATTTTTTATTCAAAAGTTGAAAGTTTGCTGAAATTTCGCTCGCTAATTCTTTCCACTTGTAAATTTCAATTTAAAATGAAATTTAAATTAACAACCATCATTCTGTGAAGTTAATGAGCTGCTACTATTAAGCGGACACTTGATTGGTTTCTGCATAAAATGTGAATTTATTAATTCGACGAATGTTCAAGTCGGGAGTTGAGCTGCTCATTTAAAAATGAAGATTATTTTAATTCCAGCTTTAAAGATTTTTAAAATCAACGCTCTTTAACATTTAACCTTCTGTAGTTAAATCAACTTATTGTTTTACTCTTTTCCGTCTATTTAAAAATTTTTAATTATATATATATTCAAGTCTTTTAACTAATTCTTATTAATATTTTTAGAGATCTGGGCAACAACAACATTACAAATCTTGATGCTAATTCATTTTTTATGGTACCAAGTCTTGAGGAATTGTAAGTATTTAAGTATAGTTTTTTTTTCTAAATACTTTATTCAAAATTTAATATTCTATGTTATGTTATGAAATAGACATATTGATTTAATTTCTCTAGATACCTATTAGGTAATCATTTTACTTCATATTTTTTATAAATGAAAAGCGTTGACGATAGATCTTAGTGAGTGATGATACTTAGTGGATTGTGGTTAGTTGGTTAGTAATAGTGATAGTTCAGCAGTTATCTTTCCATTATCTTTGCAATTCTAGCAAAAAACCTTAAGGTACAAAATGATAGCACTTAAATTCATCCCGTCGATCCCAAAAAATTGAAAAGATCTTTCATCCTTTCAGTTGAACATTAAGACAAACTGTCAAAAAAATACTTTCATCTATTGCTGTCTATGGCGAACAATGGACATTTGTTCTGGTAAAAAATTCGCTTAAAAACAGACTTGTGAACATCGATTGTCTCAATTTTTTGACAATAGGAACGAAAACTTCTCTCAGAGAGACATGATAAAATAATTTTCAAAATGGTAGCAAGCTATCGAACAAAACGGGGGGCATATTATTTTAGTTGTTATATTATTTTTATTGTTATTATAAGTTATTAGCTGATCTGTTCTAGGTAATAGTAGGTCTGTTCCACGAAGTACTCGTAGTAAAACTCAAGTAAAGCACAAGTAAAATTTACACGAAAATACACGAAAATTTGTTGGTGGAACGCACTTGTGTATACACAATGTTACTCAGAGTTACTACGAGTAACTCGTGGAACAGGCCTAGTATGTTTCCACTGTTTTCATTAGACCGGTTTATTTAGTTAAGATCGCTAACCACACAAATATATTTTGTACTTTTTAATTTAATTAAAAATAAATCAAAGGAAATTAAACCAAAAATGTCGAATGCAATATTGTAAAATATTTTTTCTGAAAGGGAAATGATCGAAAGTTTTCATATATATATATCATATTTAAATTTACATATTATACATATATATGTATATTGTTGTGAACAATATACTGCATTTCTGCATTAAATCTTTTTAAAATTGAATTATAACCAAAGAAAAGCTCTTCTAGAACTTCTACAAGACCTTCTAACACATAAAAGCTCTTTTTCGTGCAGTAATTAACTTATGCCAATGTGAACGATCAAAATTTAATTTGAAGTGGAGTGGAAATATGCTATTATGGAATGTATTGAATTCGATTATTCATGATGAAGTAAAAATAGAAGTGAAATAGGTGAAATTTTATGTCAGCTAATAAAAAAATTTAGTATCGTGCAATTTCAAGTGAAAAAGTCAGTGGACTTTAGTTTATAGATATATTAGGATTTTTTTTGATTTTCATTCGTTTTTATTCTATAATCAATAAATAAAAGTATTATATCACTTACCTTAATTGTAAAACGAGCTTGTCTTCAAGTGAAATAAATGCTAGTAAACTATTAATCTTTCAAGTTATATTTTTTTTCTATGAGTAAAAGTAAAACATTATCTGTATTTTAAAATTTATATTTAAAAATGTCAATTTTATTGACATAGTAAATTTTCGAACATAATTTTTTTCAAAAAACAGTCAGGTAACTTTGCTCTTAAAATTAGACAGTTCTCTGGCGAACACATTAACTAACGCAACGCCATCTGCCGTGATGTAGGAACCAAAATTTAAACAGCAACTAACTTAATGGACTTGCATCCATTATTATTTAGCGCGTCTGATAGAATAATAAAGTGACTCAATTTCTAAAGCACGTACTATACATAAGATTTTTTTGTCAAACTTTTTTGTGAAATGCGAAATTTTTGCCAAATTTGATGTGTAAAAGCAACATTTGAAGTGTTGACAAAAAAGTTTGATGGAAATCAAAACATTTTTAATTTCTTCAAAATTGCTCGTGCTTTTTTTGTATACAAACGGATTTTTATCGACTTAGGGTCATGTTATATAGAGTGTTTCGGGCACGCCAAAATTGGCTCTTTCGGGCTATGACGAAAATGCATGTTATATAGAGTGTCACATCAGTATCACCGAGTTCGAACTTGGGTCCTGCCAAATATGAAGCTCAGAGTCAACGCTGCTTAAGCAACTAACCCTAAGCCACACTTAACTTGTATGTTCGCACATTTTTCTGGAGTTTTGTTACTCCATTATTATATTATCTCATAATAATTGTTAACAGTATTTACAAAATCATACGGCTTTCCTTAAAAACGAACAGTGTAAAAATTTGATTACTAGCAGCTTAAAAAATAGACGCACTGAAATTGGAGTAATCTGCTCCTAAAAGACGCAAGTTCTGAAATTTATTACTGAACAACACTGCTTTGTTTAAGTGACGAGGCACATATAGCGTCTACTCTTATGCCGGAATTTGAAAAGGCATATTGTTTTTTCTCTCATTCTCAATTTTATAATTTACATTGAAAACAGTACCAATTTTGCTCATCTCGTGCCCGAGACACTCTAAATTTCCTTCATTTTAAGGTATGGAAACGAAAACATCATATAAATGCACTGATGATTTTATTTTGAAGTGTATTTATTGTTTTTTTTTTTTTCCTGGGACATGTTCAAAATAATGTCAATTGGTTTTTGATGTGTAATAACAAGCGATGACAAAAAAATTTGACAAAAATATCTAATGTGTAATACACACTTAATGTGGCGTTTTCCGGGTTTATGGAGAGATCCTTATCTTTGCACTACGCCAAAATGTGTCCAAGGTGTCCTTTTAGTTAACAAAAAAGGATTTTCATTATATAATATAGAAGAAGTTCTAACGATGTCCTACCTTCTGCTCAAAAAGTACTCAAATTTTGTAAATAAAACACACAAATTTAAAATTTATTTCAAATTTATTTTATCTCCTTCAAAATATGCTCCTTCTGAAACGATACGCATTTGCCAACGTTTAACTCAATCTTCCATATACTTTTCGTAGGCCCGTGCAGGTATGGCTTTTAGTTCCTTCAGCGAATTCTCTTTTACCGCTTCAATCGACTCAAAACGCTTACCACGAAAGGGTAATTTGAGTTTCGGGAACAGGAAAAAGTCGCACGGATCTAGATCTGTCGAATATGGTGCCTGAGCGATGACAGTGGTGCCTTGTTTGGTCAAAAATTTTCCATAGTAAAATTCGCTAAATGAACTTGAGGTAGTTTCACTTTAACAGCTACTGTAAACAAACTAATTGACAGATGGCGCTCAAATTTGTACCATATAGCAAGAAAGGGTGTATCAACGTAACAAAAAATTTTTGAAAAAGCAGTAGTTACTTAAGAAGTAGTTAACAAAAAACAAAATACTTTTTGAGCAGAAGGTATCTTAAGAGAACACGAAAGACTGTGTCTTAGCATGGCAATTCTTACTGAAGAAAATATCGTAAATATTCTTAATGATGTGGATGACAATAAATGGTTTAATATGGTTGATTTTCTTAGAAATAGACTAGCCTACAGAAAGCTTGTCATTACAGAGCTGAATTGCTTAAAAACTTTTAATTAATTCACGCCCTACCAATCCTCCAATTAACTAATATAACTGTTACTAATATAATTCTAAAAGAATAAGCAAATAATAAAAATAATAATAGTATCTAATGTGGTTTTCCGATACAAAATATATATATTATTTTGCAGTTAATTTTTTTTTTTGATAATTCTTACCAATATTTAAATACATTTTTTCCACCAGTAATAAGTTTTGTATATTTTATTTCATAGAAAATTCTTTTTTTAATCTTAAATATGCTGCTGTCTATAACTTTTATCAGTCTTAGATTGTTAGTTAAGTTGTTATCCTTCATACTGTCCTTTACATATTTGTGCACTCATCTCATTTATTTTTCTTAAATTACACAAACCAATCGTTTTCATTTATTATGAAGTCTTAAACATTTAATGAACTGTACAACTTTTGAGCTACAACCAAACAAGAAAATAACACTTACAAGAAAACCAGATACAAAAATAAGATAAAATACTATGAATAGAACCAGCAAGTAAACAAGATATTCCCAGGCTGGCTTCTTCTCTTGATATCTGCACCTCGCAACATTCAGAGTCATTTTTCATTTCCAGAGTTAAAGTCAGTTTTGTGTTTAGTTGAACTAACATGACCTACAGCAATCTCTTCACAACAACCACAACAACAACAACTACTAGTACTACTACAATCGCCTTCCCCCACCCCCCACACTTATAATGTACTCTATTTAAGTAGATTAATGACTATATTAAAGCATTTGCCGCGTTTACTAATTAATTATTCGCGCTGGTTATGTTTCGGTTCTTGGTCTCAGTTGAAGTGCCTTTCATTCAAAATTTATACAAAAAAAAAAAAAATATGTATAATTAATTATGTTGAACTATATTAATTTTTCATTAAATTTCGCATTTTTATTTACAGAACCCTATCAGACAATAGCATTGCAACAATTGATCAGAATGCATTCTATGGACTGGGCAAATTGAAACGTTTAAGCTTACAAAATTGTGGCCTTAAGTCCCTGCCAGCTAATTCCTTTCAGGGATTGACTAATCTGATTTCACTGTAAGTTGCTTTATAAGATTAATTTTTGTTTATTTTGTGGTTTAGTACGTGTTAGAAGTTTTTAAACTTTTTATTAAAGCACAGTAGCAAAAGTGCGCCCTTAACACTACACAAGTACACAAACTACACAGCAAATAAAGAATATGAAGTATACTTTTGGGTAACACATTTTAAGTTGAAAACTGTTGTGCACTTTAAGGCTATTCACCCGTAAATGCAAAGCGTTTAAAAGCAAAAAAGAATTGTTCACGTGTATTTGACACTGAATTTTAATGAAACTTGTAGAAAATAAATTTAAAAGTTTAATTATTTAATTCATGCACAAAGCATGAAGTTTAAGTATTTATGTATAATACAAAAGCATTTGACTACACAAACAAAAAACTACTAGATAAAATATCACATGATACAAAAATAAATTAAAATATACGCAAACACTCTTTGATAAGTTAATAGTAAATTGAAAGTTTAAATACATTTTATAGTTTCCGTATCTATTCGGAATAATAAGAGTAAAGGCTGTGATCAATATCAACTCTAGATAACTGTACAACCATGCACCTCTGTTAATATACCTATAAAATACCTATAAAATATCTATAAAATAAATGTATAAAATAATATATAATGAAATTAAATATATATATATATATATATATATATATATATATATACATATATATATATATATATATACATAAACATCAAGACTGATCCCATCAAAAAATACATAAAGGATAGACCCCTGAAATTATTTACGAAAACTGACGACAGACTTACCAACACCACGTTATCAAATCTCAGAAGGGTTACAGGCTCCTCGGGGAGGTATGCAGATCTGAGGTCAATTATTGCTTAGACTGATGAAGTGATAAACAATAATCTAGTCAAGGCGCAAAGAGGGGTTTTGAAGAAACCTCGCAGTTAATAGAGAGTAAAAGTGCTCAAGTGCACTGACTCAACTATCCTCAACATAATAATAAATATATATAAAAAAAATATATATAAAATAAAATATAATGGAACGGAGGTGAAATTAATAAACATGATGTGTATAATACTTATTTGTGCTGTTAATTAATCAGTATGATTCTATTAATTGCAAATGCGGAGAATCATTTATAAGCTCATTTCAAATTTTTTCCGTCACAATTATGGCCCTAAAGCATGGAAAGCCAAAAAAGGCTATTACTTGATATTAAAGGCATATAAAGTTTTTTCGTGACCTTTTTTGAAATAAAAGAATATTTCCCAACAGACTACTTTACTTATACTTGAAAGCAAAGCGTATCTCCTGACTACCAGTTCAGCTTCCGTAAAACTCATGAAACTGTTACATATTGCCACTATATAGACAACGTTATTCATTATTACTTACCATACATTAAATAATACAAAAAAAGGCGAGATTACTAAAAGGTAGGATTGCCTATAGTCGTAGTCCACACTTTTAGTAATGCTGGTTTAAGTAATATTTTAGAAAAAGCTATTTATTTATTATGGTTGAGGAACTGTTGAGGGTTACATTAAAGCAAACTAGTAAAAACATTTTTTTCGTCTTTAACATCAATTGTTTTCAATGTTAATTTTTTCTCGATACAACGTTATATGATCAGCCAGATTACAATAAATTAATAAAAATTTTTGTTCTTGTCTTTTCATTGTTATTCGACTTCTCCTAACAATTGTTTTCTTCTTTTTTTTTTGGCTTAAATATGCGTTTTCCAAGTCAGCTTTTTAACTAAATATGTACTAAAACACCTTATAATATTGCTTTATGGGTTTCTAGATTAGTATAGATGATGATAGAATACCATTTTCTTTTACTGATATCATTTTTTGCCATTTTTTTCTTTAAACCTAAAAGTAAGCAATATGTGATATAATTTTTGTATTCCAAAATACATACACCGAAATCTTATAGCTAATATCAGCCATTTTACTCGCTTTGGGCGACGTTCGCCTTTCATTGTTTACTCATCAGACTTCCAGATTTTATCCATTATTATACATAGCGTAAGAAAAAATAATTATTAATTGCTCGAAAACGAGTCCAAGGATCACTTGGAACCATCAACGCGCTGTTGTTTTTAGATCACAGTATATAAACGGGGTTCATATTTCTTGAATACCTATTGCATCATCTAATGTTTGCGCAATCTAGTAGTAACACATGTAATTACGGTAGAAACTATTATAAAGCCACAACTCAACGATATGCAGACATCATGTTTGCATATGATGGCCTGGATCTATTAAGAAAAAATTCAGTACTCTCATTAATATCAACAAATCTTGTGGCCAGTTTATTGATGAATCACAGTCATTTAGGGAACCATGCTAGAAAATTGAATCGCTTTTTTAATCAATTCTATCTTAGTTGCAGAAAAAACATTGAAAGTACCTCACATCTGCTATTTTATTGCCCAGCGCATATGTGGCGCTGATTGCCTATGCTACAAACTTTCTTTTTTCAGGATCTTGGCCAGCTCCAGAACCTACTGCTCAAGAGTATTTTAGGTTTTCCCAAATGCTTAAGTTGATTTTTACACCTTTGAGTTTTAAAAAGTTACACAATGGATCACTGGAGCACTAGCGTTGTATTTAACTCATGCTGAAACTAGTTTTTTTTTTTCAATGCAATGCTTTAAACCACATTTGCTTATTGTGTTGATATAGACACAGCTTTACATACAAGTTTTTAGGAAAGAAAGATGGCAGGTTTAAGGGGCCAAAGCGTCCAACTTCAAAGGCTGTTTAAAAAGATGATACTATTTTTTAAATTTTAGAAATTATCTGAATAATCGTCTTGAAATAAACTTTGGCAATGTGTTTATATATACTGCTAACATAGTTGTTTTTATCAAGGTTTTATGAATATCGTGTTTCAACAAGAGAAATACGTCAATATGAACTACACTTTACTGAGTCTATGAAATAAACGAAAATTTTACTTCACATTAATGAAAAAAAGATATAAGATCTTAAAATATTTTCTTAATTGTCTTAAAAACAAATTTTTATTATATTAACTGTTTCAATAAAGTTACAACGTTGAGTTTAGTCAAGAAATTTACTAACTGATATATCGCATATAAATCTTAATAGAATAGACAACAGTATCAAGTACACTGCTCTTTACTTAATTACTTTGCATCAGATTTAAAAATTTTTATTCAAATTTTAATTAAATTTTCTGATTTAATGTACATAATATAATAAAACAGAATTCAAAACAAAGTCTGCAGTACATACAAATCAGCAAAAATTGTTTTTTTCTTAAGCCTAATTGTGCGCAACACTTTTTATCTGCACGTAAGTTTAATTGGCTTTTTATCAAATTAATTAAAATAAAGTAAAATGTAAAAAAAAAACAAAACACAGCAACAACAATAAACACAACACCAACAACATTTAAACAAATCTTGAAAATATATGAAAAATAGCAAAATAAATTGGCAACAAATCACACATGTTGAGTATTTAGCACATCCTAAAAATATGCTGCACATTTTGCACAGTTGTCTGTTTGCAAAAAAAGCATTGCCTAACACACAGCACAGCTCGGGAATATTATATAAAAAACTTATAGACAAAAGTTTTTAGAAGTGAATTTTTTATGTACACATACTTAAATACTATTATAAATGTTTTCTTTTGTTTAAAAAAATCATCAAAAAACACATAAATAATATGAAATAAAAACGCATTAAAAACGTAAATAAAATTTAAATTCTCTCGCAACAAACAAAACAAAAAGGCAATTAAATGGCAACGCCTTAGCGAGCATGGATAGCGAGAGCCTGCACCATCTGCCAAAATTGCGCACACTACGTCTTGAAGGCAATTTATTCTATCGGATACCGACAAACGCTTTGGCTGGATTAAAGACTCTAGAAGCACTGTGAGCTAATTTTTGCTTTATCTTTAAGTTTTGAACAATTTCCATATATGGTGTCATTATTATTTGTTTAAAGTATCTTGAGTTTTAATTTTGTTAATCTATTTATATGTCATGATTTTTATTTGTCGATGTCATGTCTCTAACTAAAATAACCAACTGATAGCGCATGTATTGGAAAAGTTTTATATATAATTATATTTCTAATGTAATAAAATAATAAAAATTTTTTTATTTTAATTAACAAATTTAATTGATTGCTTGTATTTCATTTATACTACGTTTACATTATGAGATTAAGAGAACGAAATTAAGTTAATCTACATTTTTAATCGCCATCGTTTACATTATACATTGGAGTTTAATTTTGACAATTCCCTTGTCATGTTTTGTTCAATAAATTGTTGTTAATAAAATATTTAATTACAAATTTGTACAAAAAAATTGTAATATAAATTTAATAAATAATTTCATAACAATAATTTAATAAATTTTTGTTATATTTATGTACAAAACATTTATAAAACAAAATTTAAAAAAAACTTAACTCACTTCGGCACTTTGACTTCCACACATAAATTTCCTTAATTTCGTAAAAACGAAATTAAGTTAATTTCAAAAATGTTCATACTGACCCAAATTAAGCAAATCATATGTTTTTTGTTTACATATGTTTATTGGTAAATAATTACAAGCTCCCAACCCATTTGTACCTGAGAAATTTTAAAAGTTGATTAGTATAACTATGAAGTTATATTATTTTTATTTATTTTAAATTAATAACAGTATTTGTTCTATCTCTATATTCAAATTTAAATATTTGCACTACTTTGAATAAATTTTCCCGGTTTTATTAAAGTCAACTGTTACTGACAATTATTTAAAAAAAAAAAATACCCCTTAATACTCCTTTTATCTTTTGCTTAAGATTTATCTTACGCATAGTTGCATTTAAAATATCCCTTAATTTCAGCCTTCGTATCGTTCTAACCTCAAAACTGAATTTTGTATAAAAAAATCAACCTAATTTCGTTGAAACGAAGATGAAATCAAGATTTTTGCGAAATTAAGATATGTCTGAATATAGTATAAAATCGTAAAAAAATCTACGATATTAAGACATTTGTAGAGTCAGCATTTCTAAGGAGATTAAAAATTAATTTCAACTAAAAGGAAATTAAATTTTCTATGGGAAATTTGAGATTAAACAACGAAATTAAAACTTTAATTCCGATTATTGCTTTAATCTACTTTTAATCTCACAATGTAAACGCCGTAAATAACATTTAAATTAAATACTAAACTTCAATTACTACTAGTGGAGTTATTTATAATCACAACTCCTAATAAATAAATATAAACACACAACTTACATAAATAAACAAATGTTGTAGGAACTTATATTAATACACAATGTTAATTATTAGTACTGAAAATAACAATAATTAAAAATAAATAATCCATAAACAGATTTAAAAAAAATCATTGGAACAGGTGATGTATGGATTCGGTTGGATTAAAGTTGGATCCTCAGCAAACACATTAAAATTAGAATCGAAAGCACATTACCTGAATTAAACTTGTCAACTTTGAGAGTTAGTTGAAGCCAATAACATTCAACACCCAGTTCCTTGCATTTGCTACCTTCAACAATACTGGTAACAACAGAGATTCCAGCAATAATAGCGACTAGAATTATTTTAATCGCATAGAAAAGCTGTACGTTTGAATATAGCTTCCTTTTTGGGAGAAATTGTGGCCCATCCAACACCTCTAATGTTTGAATTGTATTTTCATACAGTTGGTTGAGAAATACAACTCCACATCGAATAAAAATTATTCTTCCCGCTTATTATTTAACCGCAGCTACCACAATACTCACATCTCAAGTGAACCAATTTCAATTGGTCAGGAAACCTGCAGACCCTAACACTTATGCTACCAGATTTATAATTTACTTTTGCTTTATCAGTCTATTCAGAGATAAGTTCTCTGCATATATATGAACACTACTTGGAAGCAGGTGCTACTAGATTTATATATACAATATGATTTTGCTTTGTCCGTCTATGCTTTACCATCTCAACAAGAGTTTGTCGGAGGGGACAATATATGAACACTACTTGGAAAGAGGTGGATTATATAGTGGATTATATATTTTTAGATCGAAACCTTTTATACTCTTATGATATTAGAATAGCCATAAGGGTGGGTGGGTGAATGACTGGTTGTCTTCTGTTCATTCAGGGTTGACTGCTGATTTACCATGATCATTGGGACCAATGCGGAACTAATTTTAATATTTTAAAAATATGTTAATACCACAATAAAAGAAAAAAAATTAATTTTTGTGTTGTAGTTACAATTTATGAATAAATTATACCAATAAGCTTTACATGTATGTATAATGAATAAACTTTAATTTACATCATTAATTTAAAAAAAAAAAAAACATTATTGTTATATTAACTTAACATTACTGTTTATTAATAATTTTAGCGAATTTTATTAATCAAGTATATTAACAAACTGAAGTCATGTATATAAAATATTTTTATACATATCAGTATATATTAACGGATGGCACATATTATTCATAAAAACACTTTTTATATAGTTTAACTAAGGTGTAATAATTTTTAATTATTTTAAAATAATTAACTTATATCCGTGCATTTATTTACGATTCAACAGCAATCTTGGCAGCAATTTACTGACAATAATCAATGATGAGGATTTTCCACGTATGCCAAATTTAATTGTGCTGTAAGTATTGCAAAAACAAAAAAAATTGAATAATTTTCCACACATTTTCCATTAATTTTCACACATTCACATTCAGTTAATTTCACAAATTGAAAAATCAGGGAAAATTTACCTGAAATTGTCGCCTTATTCAGATTCGCATGAGGCGCCTTTCCGTTTTTCCGTTTTCCCGTTTTCCTGTTTTAATTTTTCTGGTTTTTTTTTGTTTTTTTATTTTTTTTTTTGTATAAATTTATAAGTCAATTTTCACATACTTTCATATAAAAATATCACATCGTTCGTTTGCTTTAAAATCCGATTTTTCTTTACAGTTTATTGAAGCGAAATCAAATCATGAAAATCTCTTCGGGTGCCTTTACAAATTTAACGGCTTTAAAAGTTTTGTAAGTATGAAGAAAAATTTTTTTCGCTTTCCTAAATAAAAGCCTTAAAAATTCTAAAACTCCACGCCACACAATATTTTCTTTAAGTATTTTTTTTTTTTGTTTTTGTACTGAAGTGAAGGAAAATTTATTGAAAACTTATACCATCGAGGAGTACTCGTACTATTTTATGTCTCGTCCAACGCTGAGGTGATGCGGCTCCTGCTGTCCGTCGAGCCAATTTATGAGATTTGCCTTAGCACTTTTGGCTAATATAACTTGAGTAAAGTTATCGCAACCAACTTTCTACACTTTCTGCATATTTTAGGAAGACTGACGTGTTGAAATGTTGCAAGCATCATTTTTCCTCTTGAATTTACTGTTTTAACACAGTTCACGTGTAACTTAAGGCAGACAGATATTGTTCCACATATACCGAGTGGGGAAAATGAATTTTTTTCTAAAAAATAATCCTTTTTCTCATAATATGAATAGTCTCTATAGAAGAGATTATTTATTTAGAGACATTTTTAAGACTTTTGCAGGCTTCACAAAGTATACCATTGTATGCACGTTCGTGAATTAAATTTCATTAGAGTAGTGCAATTTGACTAAATAATGCAACTAATATGGCTTCATTTAACCAAATTGCATTGCAATTAATCGCACAATGATAACAATGATACTTAATAAATATATCACACAATGTCTCTGCCACTCTGGCTGTGTGGAAGAGGATAAAGGTTCATTCAGATACATTATGATCTGAATCAAAGCATTTAAATGAAATTAATCAATGAAATTAATTATTAAAATAAATTTCAACTGACGAAATGATGTAGAAAAAGAACATTCTGCTCAAAAAGTACCCGGATTTTGTAAATAAAATACATAAATTTAAATTTTATTCCAAATATGCTCCTTCTGAAACGATACACATATGCCAACGCTTAACCCAATCTTCCATATACTTTTCGTAGGCCCGTGCAGGTATGGCTTCTAGTTCCTTCGGCGAACTCTCTTTTACCGATTCAATCGACTCAAAACGCTTACCACGAAGGGGCAATTTGTGTTTCGGGAACAAGAAAATGTCGCACGGATCCAGATCTGGCAAATATAGTGCCTGAGCGATGACAGTGGTCCCGTGTTTGGGTGTTTGGTCAAAAAATCGCGTACAACAAGAATTTTCCATAGTAAAAATCGCTAAATGCACTTGAGGTAGTCTCACATTAACAACTGCTGTAAACAAACTAATTGACAAATGGCGCTCAAATTTGTACCATATGTCAAGAAAGGGTGTACTAACATAACAAAGAAAAAGGTCTATTGAAAAAGGTCTATTACTTAAGGAGTAGTTAACAAACAACGAAATCCGAATACTTTTTGAGCAGAAGGTACTTTAGTTTTTTATGTAATTATACAGTTATGTCACAAAGGTTTGCTTTAGAGAATAATATTAGAATAAGAGACTTCTTTAATTAAATAATTTTTATATAAATTTATTTACATTTATTTTTGTTTTTTTATTTTTATGCTTCTCTCATATGCTATCGAAATATCTAACAGAGAATTGGATGACAATTTAATCAGCAGATTACCCGAAGGGCTGAACAAGTTAACACATCTACAAGAATTGTAAGTAAATTTTTGAGTTAACATTTAAGTAATTTACTAAAACCACAAATGAGAAAAAAAAATACAAAAAATGAAAAACAAAACCTCGTTTTTATCTAAAATTGAATCTTAAAAAGTAAGCATCATAATTTATTGAATGAATCATGAAATTTGTAAGGATTTGTGAGACATTTGAATGTGTCTTTGCTTTTCTGTGTGAAATTTGTCGGTTGTAAAAGAATCTAAGCTCATACCATTTTAATTAAGTTTTTATTTAATAGAACAACTGAATGAGATACATCCGATTCTCCTCCTCTTCCCAATCAAAAGTTTTCTTTAAAAAAAACATCGTATGAAATCAAAAAATAATATAAAATGTTGTGTGGCTCGTGTGGCATACTTTTAGGTGTCACAAATAAATTTATGTTCATGTCCTGTGATAGGATTTTCTATTTTCTAAAAAAAAAATTATTTTTCTATACTAAGCACAACACATGATTGCGTTGAATATTTTATAAAATTGTCAAGCCACTTTATAAAATTTAGACAAAATCTATAAATCTTCTTTACTCGTTTGACCATGTTTAAGAAGAAATACAACAAAAAAGTGCTGTTTCTTGAAAATAAATGAGTACATCTTGTGCTGTTGTCTATTCGGTTATACTACGAATAGTACATGAAAAAAGTCCGGTGTAGTTGCAAAGAGTATTCATACACTTAACACAATCAAAAACCAACAAAGATATCACTATAGACCTACGTTAAAATTATACTCACCGCACAGACGACAATTGTGAAATGTTGAGGCCAGTAAGAAGTTTTTCACATATCCTGTGTGACTCACCTATGTCAAAGATAGGAATTTGACTGTACATATTATCATTAATGTAAAAGCAAAAACTATTTTAAAGTTACAGAATGCAGTTTAAAAAATTGTTCCATAAAGCTAATATACTTATATTTTTTTAACTTTTTCATGTCCAAATTTTTATTAAATGTTTGTGTATATTTAAATGTTATATATTGTCATATCACTTAGTAATATTACTACTACTACTACTTTAATTATTGACTTCTAAGTGAAGCATAGAACCTTAACAAGTAACTTAAATTTCACTTTGTTACGAGCATTCATAGTGACGTCGTTCTAGGTATAACTGACTTTTTGCATTTTCTCTTCTTTTTCAATCATACGCCTCCATCAACACTTTTCGCCTGAACATCACCAAAACAATTCTCCGACACATCCCAATCACTTTTACTGGTTTCTATACACCAACCACATGATTAAACAAAATGCGTTCAAAACCCATGAATTTTGAGGTGTCTCAAGTGGAAATATAAAATGCCATGATTCCAACGCATCTAAAAGTGAATAGATCATGAGAAGATTTCTTAAAACAATAAGGCCACTTTTAATTCGGCACTACAATTGTAGTACTATCGGCACTACAATTAATGCCCGGTCTTAATCTTGTTCCACAGGTCTTTCCATCAATAAAGAGGTTTTCGAATAGTAGTAAACTACAACAACAAAAACTATTTTTTATATTATTTTAATTTATTGAAATTTTGGCTGAACATACAGCTGTTTCGAGTATTGCTAAATATCCATTACCAAAGGTCTTAGAAATAATTCTTGTATTTAACATAATTATTCGTAAATAATTTTTTAAGACTGAAAGTACCAGAAATCGAACTCGTGCCCTGCCAAATTTGAAGCTCAAAGTCAGTGCTCTTTAAACAATTGATCCAAAGCCGCATTTGGCTTTTATGTTCGCCTATTTTAATGGAGTTTTGTTAATTTTGCTGTGAAAGTTTTATTAACAAATTCACTTGCTGTGTTTATATTGGAATGAAATCATAAAACAGCTGTAGAATAATTGAATTAATTAATTATATTATTATTTTTTAATTGTTAAACTTCAATACTATGCTTATTTGTTGCATGATTTATATATTCTTTCTTATGTTCAGAACCGAATTCCCACATCACAAATATTATCATCTGTAAGTAATATTCGAAATTAATATTTTACCCTACATTTAAACTTGTACAAATAAAATTAAATGCTTTGTGACACAAATAAGTTTAGAGAAGCAACTATTTGTAATCGCATCCTGCGCAGCCAGTTGACTGAGTTCCCATATTCTTCGTAAGCATCCGCAAGGAAGTGCGATTTCATAACGCATCATTTCATTGGTTATTTACGAGCAACATTTCAAATGAAGCAGCAATAGTTTGTTTTGTAGCAACTTTTTGCGAAGCGCGTTCCCAGCAACATGCAACAAACAACTGCAGCAATGGCACCTCACTGCACAAATTGCTCGCTGTTGTAGTTGTTGCTGCAGCAGCAGATGACAACAGTTGCAGCAGAAACTCATCTTAAATAAAAATAAATAAAAATAAAAATTGAATACGCGATTTCTATTTTTGCTACTTATAATGCAATAAGGAAATTCGATTTCTGGTAAACAGGATAATTACGGGTGTGTTAAATGCAGCGATAAGAAATCCTCTGTTTATTTCTACAAAAAAAAAAGTTACTGTTCAATGACATTTTTACGCAATCAATTTGTTGTTTTTCACAATTTTATGAAAGTAAATCCCCTTTTTCCTTTTTTGTTTTCGTGGTGGGTGAAAAACAACGAAGTCTACAGTACAGGACTAGAAGCCACAAAATCCAGCTCTTAAGAACGAATTGAGAAGATCCCAACCAATATACTCTAAAGACTTCTGACTGATATCGCATACCAGTAAGCAAGACCCTAGTGAAAAGTTCCTCCGCGTGCAGAATGCCAGGAGGGTGAGTACCAATGGGTACTCAACTAGGCTTTCCACCTTGACGGTAGAGTAAAGAGCGCAATTATAGTAGTGGGGGCGATTAAACTTGCGTGTATCATGAATGATTTTCCTATGAAGATTATAGTGGACCAAATTGGGAACGCGTATATGAACAAAACTCGAATAAACTGCTTGCATCAAAGTAGCTTAAGTGGGTATTACACATAATCCCTGGCTTCTTCACCGGGCGCGAAATCATGCGTGCATTTAAACGATGTTTTTACTTCCATCCCATAAAACAGAATGAAATTTGTAAGGAAAAATACGAGCAAGACTGACGAAAAAACAAAATATTTTGACTTTCACCAAGTCACGAGTCATGAGACCCTAAATTTGAAAAGACACTACTCCCCGGTTTAAATTTGACATGGGTTTAGTTCTCAATACTTGTAGTTCAAAAATTATACACAGAAAATTGAAAAAGTAGTATTTTTTCATGAATCACTGATGATAGATATTTGACGGTATCCAAAATAGTTATATGGTTAACTTAAAAATTAATCTGATTAAGAACTAAAAGTTTTTGAAACCTAGAACTTGAGCATTGAAAGTTTATGCAGCCTTGGCTACTTGTAGAAAAGCATAATAAGTCATCGCTTTGAATTTGACAGGCACGAGTTCTAAGCCTGACACTTGCAGTCCAAACAAATTATATATGAACTATAAACTAATTAAGAAATTCGAATATTTTTCAAGACCACTAATGATGAGTACTTCTTGACAATACTCGAAACAGCGTTGTATGGTCAGCCAAATTTCAATAAATTAAATAAATTTTTGTTATTGTCTTTTCTTTGCTATTCGAATCCGTCTTTTAGCGTCACTCTCGACAAGAAAAATTTAAAATTAATAGTATTTAAATTCCACAAAAATTGTAATTGTACTTCACTACTGTTCGAAAAACCTCTTTTTAAAATATATTAAGTTTCTATTAAATATAATAGTCACTTTCGTCTGAAAAATTTGACGTTAAATCACAACTTGTATTCACAAAATGTTGGTCTCGCCCGTGGGACTCGTGGAGTAACATTAGCACAACTTTCTAAGTATGACGTGTCTTGATTAGGTTCTATACATAAGGAAGAATATATAAATCATACAACAAATAAGCCTAGTATTGAAGTTTAACAATTAAAAAATAATAATATAATTAATTAATTCAATTATTCTACAGCTGGTTTATGATTTCATTCCAATATAAACACAGCAAGTGAATTTGTTAATAAAACTTTCACAGCAAAATTAACAAAACTCCAGAAAAATATGCGAACATTAAAGTCAAGTCAAGCTTTTGGTCAGTTGGTTAAAAAGCGCTGACACTGAGCTTCAAATTTGGCAGGGCACGAGTTCGATTTCTGGTACTTGCAGTCTCAAAAAATTATTTACGAATAATTAAATACAATAATTAGTCCCATAGACCACTAATGATGGATATATGGCAATACTCGAAACAGCTTTATCAGCTGTCAGCCAAAATTTCAATAAATTAATATAATATAAAAAATAGTTTTTGTTGTTGTAGTTCACAACTGTTCGAAAAATCTCTTTACAAAAATTTTAATTGAAAATTTTAATAAAAAATAGTTTTTTATTTACATATAAATTATTTTTTTTTCCGAAAATATTGCATAGAAAATATTTCATTTCAAATTTTAAAAACATTATTGCATTTTCCAAACAAAAATGAATATTTTTGTGTTTAGTAAATAAGAGTTATTGATATCGAGTTACCACGAATTTTAAGTCCTAGAATATATTTGTTTTAGAAATGTTTGAATTTTTAATTTTATTTGATAAACAATATGCAAAATCGGAAATAATCCTCTTAAATGTAGCTGAGCAAACTGTCAGCGGCTCCGTTCAAGGGAATACCTGTGGGTGGTGGCTCTATTGCATCCGGTACTAAGCATCGGAAACAAATTTACTTTGTTGACGTAAAACAGTGAACTGCCATTAAAGCTCCTGGAGAAAAATATAAGCGACGATAAAATTTAAAATGCCAAACAGTTTTTGTTAAACAAATTCTGGATTTAAGAGGTCACTTTTCCACTTCAGAAGTACCAACCGCACCAGCAAAAAGTGAAGCAAATTATGCAGTTGAAACGAGGTCGCATTTTGTTAGTTTAAAAAGTTTTTATTTCGCATTCCCACTTTCCGTACAAAAAGTTAATTTTATTTTGTTTTATTCCACTTTTTTTTATTTTTTTTTTATTTTTATTATTTTAAAGTGAAGAAGTTGGTGGAGAAGTTCACTACCACGCTTCCGTTATTGAATAGTTATACTCTCTTCTGCTGTGTTCACAGCGAAACACTTAAAAATAAATACAAAAAAAAAAAAATAATAAAAATATTTCCTTTAGCTATATCTTCAACTGGAAAACTTAGAACCCATTTAAGTTGCATTTATGTCTTGTTCTGGCATTGATGAAATGCTTCAGAAATGTGCACACTGGAACACTTAACGTTTCGCATACTTCTGCTTCGCTGCAATTGCAAGATGATGGAATGCTTTGTGTTGATTCAGAAGCATACTTTACTGAAATAATACCAACTAAACTACTAAGCTAAAGTGAAATGACTTAGATTTCCTTTATGTAAGCCCAAAGGTATTACCACAAATCTTCACTTTGAGGTTCACACTAATATATTAAATTTTATTCCCATCTAAATACATCATTCCGAATTATAAGATTTTTGTCAGGTTTTTCTGGTTTAAATACTAAACAACAAAGGAGTAACATTTGAAAATAAAAGATAATAACATTTCTAGACCTCGTTTAATAGGATAATTAAGTCATAAACTATCAATTACGAACTAAACTTCTTCACTCCATTCAAGCAAGCAGTACTGTTTTTTCATCTTGCAGTGTATGAAAAGCATGAAGCGCTACAACTTTTAGTAATAAATTTGGAACAGATTTGATATTGTACTGAACTGAACTGTGCCATACAGTTCCATATAATATTTTCCAAATACTATTTCACATTCTTGTATTTATTTTTGTGCTCAAACCTACGGCCTCTCAAATTCCGGCTAGAGATTAGTCACTGTCATGCCTTCGTAACCAAATATTGGTTACAAAGCCATGCCCACAGTATATTGCTCTAAATAGCAATACACCGGGATATGCACAATGGAATATCTAACAAAAAAATCGATTAAAATCAAATCAAAAGCTATGCTTAACCCTGTTCTATCTTCTATATTTATGGCATAATTAAAGTTAGTGATTTGATAATAATAACAGAATAATTAATACGTAATTCTGCTTATTTTTTTCTTAGTGTCCCATTTCTACCTATGTCGTTATAACTTACTTTTTGAAATATTGAGGTTTAAAGTTTTTTATAGGGAGCACAAAGTTTAAGAATAAACTTGTGAGGTCTCAATAGAAAAACCACAAGAGATGTATCCATACCTGTTAAATTTAATTTACAGATCATTTTTAACCATCTGATCCACGGACCACCGGTTGGGTACTACTGATCTAAGTCGTGTGAAATTCATATTCCTTCCATAGCTCACCTAACGCAAATTCCTCTATTAAGAAACACAATTTACTTGATTTTTATCATGTTTAAACCATTGTTGGCTATGTATCCTAATACCATTCACATCTTTTATTTTATTGACCATCCAATTTTTTTAAAGAGTTTGTACCTATTAGAAACCTATGGCTGTAGCATTGTATTGTCTCCAAAGGATTTCTTTAACATTTTAAATATTTCGCTGTATCTGTCTCGTTCGCTTTGCAAATCCAAATACAAAGTAAGCATCACAAGTATTCGTCTATTTACGAACAGACTACTACGAACACTTTCAGTTCAAACTTCTTATGATTCTTTAATTACATATCGCACAGGGAGCGTTTTAAAGTTACAGGATTTCTTAAACATACACGGATCAATTGGTAGTTACATGGAATATAGTTCAAAACGGAACTTTTGAACCAGTTAGAAATGGTAAAGAACTGAACATTTTGATTCCATGTTTAAGGTACATTAGTAAATAATCTACCTTCCTAACGCATATAACTACTAATGAAAGTCATCAGTATAAGTTTGCCTTTGAATGCATTATGAAGACAAGGATGCATATCTGTAGACCAATCGATCCAAATATATGATGATCGTATAAGATACATTAGCTAAATGTCATTGATGACATTTTGTATGCGTGTCTTGAAGACTGGATGCGTCCACGTCTTGCAAAGCGAATTCATTTGATATAAAATATTGCGCTCTTAGCATAGCCATGTATATTAACCCCCTTATTTTGTGAACTTGACAAATTAGTTAAGTATTATCGAGTCGAGTTTAGCAACTGCAAATTTAATTACTCATAAGCTCATTAAAATCTGTGTTATCTTTCACTCGAAACCACTGTATTATGTTAGTTCATATTTTCATAGACTACTTGAAAGGGTTGAGTTACATTCCTGATGCTGAAGTGAAGTATTTCTAAAACTTTGTTGATGACACATACTTCGTAGATAAGTGTATCTTCATTAAGTGGCTTCAAGAAATATTGTTTGGTTTCGGTACCGCTTTATCGGGACCATGCATGAAAGGGTTGAGTTACATTCCTGATGCTGAAGTAAACTATTTGTGAAACTTTGTTGATGACACATAGTTCGTAGATAAGTGTACCTTTATTAACTAACTTTAAGAAATAATGTCTGGTATCGGTACCATTTTATCGGGACCATGCATGAAAGGGTTGAGTTACATTCCTGATGCTGAAGTAAACTATTTGTGAAACTTTGTTGATGACACATAGTTCGTAGATAAGTGTACCTTTATTAACTAGCTTTAAGAAATAATGTCTGGTATCGGTACCACTTTATCGGGACCATATATAAAAGGGTTGAGTTTAATTTCTGATGCTGAAGTGAACTACTTCTGAAATTTTGTTGATGATACATACTTCGTAGATAAGTGTATCTACATTAACTGGCTTTAAGAAATATTGTCTGGTCTCGGTACCGCCTTATCGGTACCATGTATGATCTCATGCAGCAACTTTGCTACCTATTGACATATGTAAACACTTTTTTCCATTTATAGTTGTAAATTATATATGTATACTTTTGAATATCCAAAAAAAACAAAAACTTAATAATTTTAATTCACAAAAATAAAATAAATTATTTAAATTTTTTATCTTGTATTATTTGATTTCCTTTTCTGTGCCGTATACTTCACCTAAAACCTAAGATGAAGTGATGCTTTAAATAATTTCCTTACAGATAAGTTATATGCGATAAATGCTACCTGCATATTTTATATGAAAACTAATCCAGAAATAAATAAAGAAATCAAATATCTCATTGGGTGATGTGGGAAGCTAATCGAAAATAATATTTTACTACAATGAGCAAATTTGCCAAAATACAAGCATTTCTTCACAAAATAGCCTGCATATTTGTGTATTTCTAAGTGTTGAGTCAACGACCGGTACATATACATATATATATTTATAAATGAGAAGAATAACATTAATACAAAAAGATTTTGGTCCACTAAGACAAAAGTAGAAACTCGTGAACTAACCAAAATGATAAGAAACGAAATTATCGTTCTCTTGACCTTGCCGGGAAAGAAATTAATTACAAACATTAATTAAATTAAAGCCAAACGGTTAATTCCATTCACAGCGTGATAATATAAACACACAAATGAAAATATAAATTTATTTTTAATTGTTTGAAATGTTAAAAAAATAAGTATTTCATTGTATTTCATTGATAAATTATATTATTATATTTTACAGTTCGGCCACCAGCAATCGCCTGCGTTGGGTTAATGACACCGATTTGCCTAGAAATCTACAAACAATTGATTTTCGAGCTAATCCATTATCACTAATCGTACCAGGGGCTTTTCGCATCATGCCGAAATTGCGCAAATTGTACGTATCTTTCACAATGGAACAAAGTATATTAACCAAACACTTTAATTGTACTTTTATTAACTTTGGAACATAGACGAATTTTATTTTATTTATTTGACTGTGTTTAGAATAATATTATTAATGAAACATACATAAACCGTACTTATGACTATCTGAAGTACAGGAATTTATTAAAAAAATTAATAATTATATAAAATTTATATAATTTTTAAAGCTCCGAAAAATATCAGTGAGTAAGAAATTGTTAAACAATCTATTACAAATCTATTAATTAAATATTATTAATTAATCTATTACAAATTAATATGGTATTGTAAACAAAGACCAATTACACTCAAAGACCGTCATAAGTGTACGGTCTTTGAAACAATAAACCGATGTAAGCGACTAAATCAATGAATGAGCAAAGCACAAAGCTTTATGATCTTGACCGTAAAATTTAAAGCGATGACCGTATTATTATAAAACAGTTGAAATTCGCTCGAAAACAAATACCGTATTATAATAATAACATAAAGACCGTAACATTTGGTGTGTTTGGTTGCTCTGCACCACAGCAAAAATCACCAAGACTCCTGCTTAAGTCTCTTGCTAATGCATTGCTAAGGCATGACTGTTAGCACCTGTCAAATATTAGGGGTATTCACGAGTTCGAGTAAAGAGCTCGGTAACGTATTAAAAGTGCAACGTTACCACATTAGTTAAGCTTTAACCAACACTTTAATAAATTATATAAAATTTTAAACATTAAATAATTATTACATTAAATTATATTAAATTTTATATTATATTAAGCCATTTTATTCTGTTTGAACTATTCTTTATATATCCAGTTTGAGATATGAAATTACAATGCTTATTGCTAAAACCCCATAGGTCCATATCTCCTAAGAAAAAAATTTCATAATTTTTTTCCGAGTCATAAAAAAAATTTTATCGAATATGGAGATGATGAATAAAAAGGCAAATTAAAAAGCAAAGTTGATATTACTGGAAGCATTCAATATACGCGGTATTTTTCACCGATTTTAACGCGATGAAATCGGTGAAAAATCGGTAAGTCTGACCGCGTCGACTCTGAATGTATTAATAGCTTTCGAACGAAATTCAGTCAACATTTTCATAATAATACGATTTTTGCTTGTAATTTTACGGTCTATGCTGAAAACTAAAAACAGCTTTACGATCTTTGTTAAGAACATTACACTACGGTCTTCGATTAAATTTTTCTTTACTGACTTACGTGTTAAGAATGTTTTATCCTATAAACTCCGTATCATTCTAAATACGGTCTGGGATTGCTATTCTATAAGATTTTGAAAAGTTCATATTCCGTCCGTTGCATTCCGCCGACTAACATTTCTTTAAATTAAACCAAATTCAATATAAAACCTATAATTATTTTAATTATATCTATTTTGCTAAATTAAAATTTTGAAAAAAATTTTCATTTCCTTTTAGAATTTTATCCGATGTCCGTTCTTTAAAAACTTTTCCCGACTTGGAAGGTTGCTACTCATTAGAAATATTAAAGTTAGATCGTGCGGGTATAACTGATGTGCCGGTTAATTTGTGTCGGCAAACACCAAGACTGAAAAGTTTGTGAGTAAATATTTTTTTTAACCTATATATCTATATATAAAAAATATATAAGTTGTACTATACTTACACTGTGTGATTAAGGTCTATCCTACTAGGTTAATCTGCATTTATTAATTTAATCCATATACACCATACATTGTAAATTAATTGTGATGTTTCTCTTGTTAATTGCTAATTTCGTATATTTGAATAATATATAATAGTATATTTTAAATAATATAAAAAGAATTAAAAAGTGGTAATAATATTTAAACAACAAATATATCTGATCGGGATACTATCACTTTTAATCAAAATTATTTAAAAAAAATTATTAATTATTATCATTATTAAAAATAATAATTATTATTATAATTATTTAAAATAATTATTATTATTATTATTTAAAATAATAAAAATTATTATAATTAAAATAAAAATTATTATTATTATTAAAATAATAACTATTATTATCATTTAAAATAATAGTTATTATTATTATTTAAAATAATAATTATTATTATTATTTAAAATAATAATTATTATTATTATTATTTAATATAATAATTATTAGTATTATTTAAAATAATAATTATTTTTATTATTTAAAATAATAATTATTATTATTATTATTAAAATAATAATTATTATTAGTATTAAAATAATAATTATTATTATTAATAAAATAATAATTATTATTATTATTAAAATATTAACGATTATTATTATTTGAAATAATATTATTTGAAATTTGAAATCATTTTAATTATTATTATTACTTAAATAATAATTATTATTATAATAATTATTATTATTATTTAAAATAAAAATTTTTATTATTATTTGAAATAATAATTTTTATTATTATTTAAAATAATAATTAGTGTTATTATTTAAAATAATAATTTTTATTATTATTTAAAATAATAATTATTAATATTATTTAAAATAATAATTATTATTATTAGTTAAAATAATAATTATTATTTAAAATAATAATATTTTTAAAACAATTTTTAACGTTTCTCTAAGTAAATTGTTATTTTGTGTTAAAGTATTTCACTCTTTCGACTTTGCATTATTTGTATCTTATTACAACTAGAACAGTCACTCCTAATAATAAATGAAATACAAAAATATTACAATAATTATTTAAAAAAAAATTTACTTACCCCGTTGTCTATTCCCATCTATCCTTCTTTAATGTATACTGTTGAATAGTTTTTAATATTTTAAAATCACTTTCTTTAAGGTTCTTAAAAAAAATTCCAATATTAAGATATATATAAGTAATATTTTAAACGAATTTAAAGATTTCGTATAAATCGAGATCAGAATGAGAAATCTTGTTAAGATTATAGCTCAACTTGTTTAGGGCTTTAATCTCAATTACTGCTTTATTCTGCTGTTAATCTCACGGTGTAAGCGTAGTGTTATAAGTATTACATATACTCTAAATATTTGTCTATACACTATAATATATTGTTTTACTTTCAGAGAGCTAAAGACGAATTCCCTTGTGCGCATTCCAAGTTTAGCTAACTGCAGAGATTTAAGACTGTTGTAAGTAGACTTTTATTGTTAAATCTATAAAAAGTACAAATGTAGTCTTAATAATAGAATTTGATTAAAGTTGAAAAAAATTCTTTAATATATAAAAAAAATTAAGTAAAATCAGGGCATATTTAATAAATATTTTAATACATTTTAATACACTTAATACGATTTATACATAATATCAAAAGATATAGTAAGTTTCTTTCATACCATATACCTCGGCTAATACTGAAAACACAAATCTTCCATACGATTATTTTCATGTTTTGGACTAACGATTCTATTAAGGTATATATAGTATATCTATTAAGTTAGAAGCATCTTGTATATGAAATGACTCGATTTGATCTTCATGAACTACTGATCTCTATTGAGTTGTTGCTGTTGTCAATGTGTTTCGTGCTTTGAAATCCATTTACGATTTCAATTTTTCTTCCCTTGAATTATTATTTCTCTTGAAAGTGCGGTTGGGCAGCACTTTTGATGCAGTGTAGCCTTAAATCGCCGTTTGTGCCTAAGAAACATATGACATAGCTATACATGTATATATATATACATATGTTTGACTCACATGTTTCTTTTAAATTGCGGTTTGCCGTATATAATCAGAAAAAGAATAGCACTTCTGATGGACAGTGTTCAAAACTAGCTATCTTATAATATGAGGTTTAAACAGGCCTCTAGTGGTTTGAGATAAATATGTTGGTTATCAGTTAGCTAGGTTTAATGGTGGAAGTGTTTGTCACAACTTTATTGTTTGGAAACATATTACTAATATTTAGACAAGAAAAAAATGGTTGAATATATTTTCATTGACTTACGTTAACGTTAAATAGAGGTATTACATGCCCAATGTGTACAAAAAGGATGATATTAGAATCAGTGACGAGTAAATAAAACCACAAATAACAGCCATTTATCACTCGGTGCTAAATAACAAGAAAATGTGACAAATGTTTGACAAGAAAGTGGAAGTACTAGATATGGAAGTCCCGAGCAAAATCTTTAAAACTGTGTAAGATTTTAAAATGCCAAAATAAGAATAAAAAAGTGATGGAGTCATTATGGCATTTACTTAATTAAAATCAAACTGATTCCCGAAAATTTAATTATATATTATTATAATTTATATTATATGTAAGTACATGGTATAGACTGATAAATACCTACCCAACTCCATGACTCATTGTCCGATAATAATTATTGTCGTTATACATATTTAATAGACAAACGGCTTGTCGAAAATGTTAAAAATTAACAACCAGAAAACTATTAGAAATATATATGGCCTTTATATCACTTTATCTAAAACTCTGAGTTCTATGGATTCATTTCTAATAATATTATATTGTATTAAATTACTTCATTATATATATACTTTTACGAATTATAATTTACATTTATTTTCATAACATGTTTTAATATTCTTTCTAGAGATTTGTCCAGCAATCATATAGAGTCCCTACATGGACGACCATTTATCGGTTTGAAGCAACTGCATGATTTGTTGCTGTCATACAATCGAATAAAGTCAATACCTCAAGATGCTTTTCTTGGAATACCAAGACTACAGCTTCTGTAAGTATTGATAAATAATTTATAGTAATTAATTTATATAATTTATGAAATACTATGAATATTAACAGTGATCTTGAGGGCAATGAGATTACACATATACATAAGGATGCCTTTGTGCCATTTGCCGAACTCGAAGACTTAAATTTAGGCAACAATATGTTTCCTGAATTACCACCGAATGGCTTGCATAGACTGTTGCATTTAAAGACTTTCAATAATCCCAAATTACGAGATTTCCCAACTCCTGACACTTTTCCGCGCATACAAACACTAATTCTATCATATGCCTATCACTGCTGTCCATTTTTACCATTAGTTGCGATGTCAGCAACGAAAAGACCACCGCTCGTCCAAGAAGCTGTTCTATTTCCGTCAGATACGGAATTCGATATGAGTTTGTGGAATAACAGTATGTTGGATATCTGGCCACAATTGCGTAAGTATCATTGAATATTTGTCAATAGACATGTAATATATAATTTTAATTTGTCTGATAGATAATCTCAGCAAAAAATTTGGTACTCAAATGCACGATATTTGGGATAATTTTGGGCAAGATTTCAACTACCCAGGCAATCTGCCTACTTACGTGGAGGAATATTTTGAAGAAGAAACTACTGGTTCATCTATTGCAGCTACTGGTGCTGGACCTACCTATGCAGGCATAGGTACAGGTCTTTTTGGCACTATAGGTGGAGATGTCACACCTGGTTCCATACAATGTCTTCCTATGCCAGGCCCATTTTTACCTTGCGCTGACTTATTCGATTGGTGGACACTACGCTGTGGTGTTTGGGTAGTATTTCTTCTGGCATTACTCGGAAATGGCACTGTAGTATTTGTACTTATTTTTTCGCGTTCTAAAATGGATGTGCCACGTTTTCTAGTCTGTAATCTAGCAGCCGCTGATTTCTTTATGGGAATATACTTAGGCATTTTGGCAATCGTTGATGCCTCTACCTTGGGTGAATTTCGCATGTTTGCCATACCGTGGCAGATGTCTGTTGTGTGTCAAGTTGCTGGTTTTCTTGCAGTGCTTTCATCAGAACTTTCTGTTTACACGTTGGCAGTCATAACTTTGGAACGAAACTATGCTATTACTCATGCCATACACTTGAACAAGCGTCTTTCATTAAAGCAAGCAGGTTACATTATGTTTATTGGCTGGTTATTTGCTTTAGTAATGGCCACATTACCACTGATGGGTGTTTCGGACTACCGAAAATTTGCCGTCTGCTTACCTTTCGAAACCACCACCGGCGTTGCAAGTTTAACTTACGTCGTTGCGCTAATGTTTATCAATGGATGTGCCTTTCTTACACTAATGGGTTGCTATCTCAAAATGTATTGGGCTATACGTGGTTCACAGGCTTGGAACACAAATGACTCACGCATAGCTAAACGTATGGCCCTATTGGTATTTACGGACTTTTTATGTTGGTCGCCAATAGCCTTTTTCTCCATCACAGCCATTTTTGGTTTGCAATTAATTTCATTGGAGCAAGCAAAAATTTTTACAGTATTTATTTTACCTCTCAACTCGTGCTGTAATCCTTTTCTTTATGCCATCATGACGAAGCAATTCAAGAAGGATTGCGTTAATCTGTGTAAACATTTCGAAGAAACACGTGTAACACGTGGTGTAGTTGGCAAACGTGGAGAAAGACCTATTAAAGAACTGCCACCTTTGCTACCAGCTGCACATCCTCCAGGCTGTCGCTGTCTTCGCATGATGCCAAGCGAAATGCCGAATTGGCACAAAATGCAAGAACAACCAGAAAATTTATGGACACGTGCTTGGAAACGATTGGCAATATGTTGCCAATGTTGCTGTCGTGAAACTCAACATAAACAGCATAAAACTGAGAGACGTACCCGGGCACGAAATGCAAACACTGATCCGTATCAATATCAATTCTCGGAGATTAAGCAGAAAAAACAAACACGTGCTAGTTCTATATCAAGTGAAAATTTTTGCTCTTCACGTTCTTCAAGTTGGCGTAATGGTCCACCTTCAACTGGTGCTCATCATACTTGTAATATACCAATGAAAATGATGGATCCGAATCGTAGACGACATTCGGCTTGGTTAATCACACGTAAAACATCACAAGATTCTAATTTATCTAGTTCACGTAATGATTCATCTGCATCAGCGACTACAGCTAGTACTTCAACGTTCCGTCTGTCACGTTCGAGTGCGGGAAGTACAACTCCACTACCATCTATAATCGGTAAAAATAATTATATATTTTATAATTGTAATTTGATGAAGTTTAACAAAAAAGTTCATAAAACTCCAAGTTAGAACAAGATGTCAGGTAGGACTTTGGGTCAGTTGGCTAATGAACACTGACTCTGATTCAGTCTGAAATTTGACAGACTTCGAATTCTCAAGTCTTGGTACTTGCAGTCTCAAAAGAAAAATTATTAACAAATAGTTAAATACAACAAATATTTCCAAAAGGCATTTAGCAATACTCGAAACAGCCTATCAATAATGTTTGTATAATCAATTTTGCCAATACTCAACCAAAACACAATTAATTAAAAATAATAAAATTTGATTGTTGCAATTCACTACTATTAGAAAAACCCCTCACCATGTCGAAATAATTTTATAAGATGGTATAAAGTTTAGAGATAAGGACATATCATGTGTGAAAAAAAAACCATTATAAAAAATTATATACGTCTGTCATAAACGTTAACCCTCTAGGGCCAACATGTAGTTCTTAAAGGGTTAAAAAACCGTTTACTTTCATTAACAAAAACATTATATTTGTATAGCAAGTTGTTTTCGTTGTAGAGTTAGACTTTTGTTATGTACTAATATGTGCTCATTATTAATTCACGTTAACCCGTTAATGACCCATAAAAAAAAACAATCTTTGTAACTAAATCATGTTAAAAAGTTTACATGACGGTTGTAATGAATGAAAAAAAGTTGTGTTTTTGAAAAGCAATGTGAATCAATGGAAGATTTACTCTCTTTAGAATCAATTCACTTCTAAGTTACTCGCAGAAAAAGCGAAATTTTTATAATTTTGTGATATTTTAAATAGAGAATGTCGTCTCTACATTTAAATTTGGAAGCATACTTAAAAAACAATTATAAAATAAATCCAGTTTCCGAAATATGAAAACCATTCTTTATCTCTATAATTAATGCGACATCAACACAAAAGCACCCATATATTCTATTATATATTCTTACAGCATTACCAGAGCAAATTGTTTGAGACTATATAGTTAAATGCGTTCCTAGATTCAAATTTAAACCTATTACAACTAATTTAGCTAGTTTTCAAGAAAAGGGTTGAATTCGGTACTAATAGTACCTAGAAATATCACCTCCATGCTAAAAGGTTGGATCGTCTCAATAACTATGAACTAGTGTCCCTCCGTAAAGTTAAACTAACGGGCTACTATCGATATCATATACAGAGATTTATTTAAGGGCTTTTTAAAAAACTGTAAATTTATATAAAAAAAATATAATTAAAAATTATCAGCTAAATCTAGTGTGAAATGGTTCAAAACATTTTTAAGAAGAAGGAGTTCGAACCCTTAAATCCCACTTTTATATATACCACTAGTCACCGTAGCTTGTGTTTGCATCTTAACAGCATTAATTTGTTTAAGGAAACAGACTGATCTGCCTGTAAAGAGATGAGGCTTCTAGCATAATTCTTTATAACTATCTAACTTTAAACTGGGCGATGTGGTGAATACGAAATCAAGAGTTTATAACTCTGTCGAATGTTAGAATACCCATAATAGTTGAAATTTTGCTTTTATTCGAAAGGTACACTGTTTTATGATCACTGAAGATAGGTTAGATTGCAGTCGAAGCCATGGTCGCAGGGATCCGCTCCAGAACTAGTAGCCCATTTTTCTAATATTTTAACTAAGCAATAAATTATGAAATATGTTTGGGAGTCATTTTTTTATATAAAGCCATTTATTCTTACTGATGAATATTTTTGTAATAATATTTTCATAAATTATTATTTACAGCACACAGTAGCAAGTCACAACAACATCAGCTATCAACTTTACCAAAGCCAAGGCTTGTACGCCAAGAAGCTGTGCAGGAAGAAGAAGACTCTTCTCCTCCACGTTTAGGTGTACGTTTTCTACCTACTATTCCATCAGCAGCTGATAGTTCAGTTGTAATGGAAGATGGAGACTCTGCTGTTAATGTGACCGGCATTATAGCAATGCCAATTCCTAATACAAGCAGTGGCTACTATGCTGTAGTCCAGACACAAGCCTCTCAAACTGCAGGTGCTACAACTGTACTGACATCTTCAACGAGTCCACAATATACCCCAACAGATCATCCACCATGACAATTTCGTCGCTTCGAACTAAGCGGACTGCAGAAAGCAAGTGATAAAATACTTAAACGTGGTAATACGGAAGCATTACTTTAGTTTCGATTTTTGAGTATTAGTCATTAGTCAATTTTTTTATAAGTAGAATTAAAGAGAATTTAAGTATTCGAATGCAAAGCATTTAAAGGCCATATAATGTTTTAAGTAATGAATAATATGATAATTTTTAAATTTAACACAATACTTAGATACAAAATGTATGTGAATAAAAAAAAAACAAAAAAACAAAAAGAAACAATTGTAGTCGAATATATTTATTTGGTAGTGCAAAACAATAAATTGTCATTTATACTTATATATATATAAATATAAATATATATATATATATATATATATGTATATATATATAATATATAAGTACAAAAAAAATTAAAGTACTAAAGAAATATTTATAAAAATTAATAATAAAAGAAATAAACGCAAAGTTGTACATACACAAACATACATAAATATATACAAATAAAATACATGATATATAATAATAATTTAATTTCATAAAATACATGCTAAAAAATACAAATAAAAAAAAATTTTTATTATTCTAATCTCCAACTTCCTGCACTTCATTGTCCTCATCAATTTCTTCTGGTAATATAGCACCGAAAGTTGGGTTCTCTATTAAGTGAACTTGCTGTGATTTAGTTCCATAGCTGCGTCTACCAATTTCTCGAAATATTATAATCACAGCCAAAATACAAAGTGCAATTAATAGCACCGCAATTGTTCCGATCGTCCAACTTGAAACTGGAACACTATGAAAATATTAATTATAAAATGATTATTAAAAAGTTAATACACGTACTCAGACTGAACTCGGTAACTCGGTATTTGCTAAACTTTTTTAACAACTTAATAAGTTTCCGAAATCAATCTAAGTATCCCTAATATACGAAAATTAGAAATGTAAATCGAATGAAGTGAAAGGAAATTAAATACAAATAAAAATACTTCGTACACCATCTTCAGTGCACAATAATAAAAAAAATTTTTTAAATAACATACATGTAAATAAAAACGATATATTAAGTTCAACTCTCAAGACCCTCATCATATAATTCAGAACACAGCTCTGAATTAGAATAAACTTCTGCAATCCAATTTTTCATAATGAAAATAAAAAAATTCTAATTCCCAAACCGACCATACCATATGTTCTCTTCTAAAACAAGGGAATAAAGACCGTGTGCGAATTCGAGTAAATTGAGGTAAACTAAATATTTATTTATTTATTTATTGCATTTGTCTATTATTTTTGGTTAAAAGTATTCAAATTTATTTATTTAATAAATAAAATATATTATAAAATTTTCACAATGGCAACACCTAGCTTACCTAATTTTTATTTAATTTACCCTACTCGAAATTCTGGTAAATATCAACATTCGCTGCCATACCGACATAATTTACTTTTTCTCACAATTTATCATCAATTTTTTGGAACTCGCACTTCCAGGGAAAGTGATTTGCATCAAATGATGAAATGGAATAGGAAACTAAGGTATATATTGGATGACTGGATTAATCGAATTATTTAAAAGGTATCCAAATATTGACAGACCATTAGACTTGGTCTGTTGAGCTAAAACGGGACTATATTGAAAAATGAAATATGATTTTTAAAAAAAATGCATTTCTATTTTTTAGGCTGGCTATTTATCAATCCACCTATTTACGTATTGGTACGTTTATAAATTATAAATTAACAGGCCAGGGGAAAATAAAGTTATTTCGTTAGTAAAACTTCAGTGCATGTTCCATCATTGATCCCAATAAAAAATACATAAAGGATAGAGCCCTGAAATTATTTGCGAAAATTTACTAACACCGCGTTATCAAATCTCAGAATGGTTACAGGATCCTCGGGAAGATATGCAGATCTGAGGTCAATTATTGCTTAGTCTGATGAAGTGATAAACCATAATCTAGTCAACGCATAAAGAGGGGTTTTAAAAATACCTCGAGATAAGAGAGAGTAAAAGTGCTTAAGTGCACTGGTTTCAACATAATAAATATTAGAGTGGTGTGAACTCTACCAAACTGTATGTAGTATTTAGAACGTGTCAAGAAAAATAGTGCTTGATCGAACCATTCATGGAATCATGTTTCAAATTAAAGAGTATTTTAAACATTACATCACATGATATATTCATTTATATTAAAAATTGTATTAAAAAATTGGAAATTTAATTCGTAAAAATTGGAAACTTAAACGAATAAACTGAATATAATTATGAAGTCACATATGAATTGTTTACTCAAATTTTTCATAACTTAAAATTGCAAGAATAATTTAAAATATTACAAAAATATTCGAAATTGGAATTTACTGTATAAGGTCTAAAGAATTTCATTAAAGCACTTAGCTCATATTAATGTTGCGTTAATTTACGCGTAATAAATATAGTATACATGGGGCACAATAGACCCGATGGTCGCAGTGCCACATCTCCAAACAATGATAGTATACAACTGTCTTGTACCTAATATGGAATATTTTATTTGGATAATTAAGTCATCGATTTAACTAATCACTGCAAATAAAAGTAATAAACTAATATTGACTTACTTTTGAAAAACATGGTCATTAACTGCTCCGTATGGTATACACTGTCCACGTTGCTCATTGTAAATCAAGCCTTCAGAACACTGACATATTTGTAATTCATTACAGACTCCACCACCCCGACAATTCCATTCATTACAATCTGGCACACATTCCAATAATCCACCTTCATTTATGCTTAAAGTATAGCCTGGTTCACATTTACAAACATTCGGCGCTATGCACTTGCCATGTGCACACGATTGTTCGCATACTGGTTCGCATTCGGTAGTGCTATCATTCAAGTACCGATATCCATCTAAACATGTACATTGATTTGGTTTTAAACATTCAGCATTGACACAAACATCCTTGCATACCGCCTGACAACGATTTGGGGCATTTGGATCAGCTACCACGTAACCATCGTCACATTGACATTTATTAGGTGCCACACATTTACCATTCTCACACGTTGGTCTACAGCGCGCAATGCACAAATTATGATGTTTCGTGTCCTCATAGCCTTTCCAACATTCGCATGTATTTGGTTCCACACAATTACTGTTGATGCACGGCGGATAGCATACTGGATCACAAATAAACTTAGAACCGTCCCGTAATTTGAAGCCCTCATAGCAACGACACACACCACCCGCTGCACAAATACTATTAACACACTTATGTGGACAGAATGGTTCACAACGACCAGTCAACCACTTTCTCGTATAGCCCGCTTCGCAATTGCAAATACCCGGCGCAATGCACTGACCATGTCCACAGTCAAAATTGCATATCGGGTCACATTGATGTGGTTGTAGGGTGTTCGGTTTATAGCCGTTAAAACAGCGACATGTATCAGGTGCTGTACATGTGCCATGTACACATGTTTTTGTGCAAACTGGTATGCAATGAAAATAGAGCAATGACTGATAGCCTGAATTGCAACTACAAACGCCTGGACTTGTACAAACGCCATTCTTACAACCTTTCGGACAGAATGGTTCACAAACCGTTTGACTGCCATTCCGATAAACGTAACCGGCATTACAAGTGCAAGTATCAGGAGCCGAACAAAACCCGTTTATGCAAGTATCCTTGCATTGAGGAGTGCATTTATGTGGCTCTGACATTTTGTAGCCGTCATGACACACACATTTTCCTGGTTCTGTGCAGAATCCATTTTCACAGCCATTTGGACAAGTTGGCTCACACCAAGATCGTGAACCATTCTTAAAACCATGACCTTCAAAACAAGTACATTGATTAGGCGCTGAACAGAAAGCATTTACGCATTTATCCCTACATACAGGAGCACATCCTTGTGATACCAAATTATTTAGATTTGCATAACCAGTTTTGCAAGCGCATACATCCGGCGCATAACATATGCCATTTGGACATGATGAACTGCAAACTGGATCACATTTGCTTATAGTTCCCAAACGCAGCAAATAGCCAGTGTTGCAAGTGCATTCATTAGGACTACTGCAAACGCCATTCTCACAGGGCTCTTCGCAAATAGGCACACATTTACCTAAAGTTTCGTTGCGTTCGTATCCAAAATTACACGTACACTTGTCCGCCGAATCGCAACGTCCATTTGTGCAATTCATGTCACATTTGGTCTCACACTCGGTTCGGCTACCATTACGAAAATTGAAACCTGTGTTGCAGGTGCAAACTTCGGGTGCTGAGCAAACGCCATTCACACAAGGTTCACTGCAATTTGGTTCGCATAGAGATTTGTTCCGTTGGTTATTATAGCCACTGTCGCAAAGGCACATATTTGGATATAAACATTTACCCGTTTTGCAATCTGCGCAATTTGGCTGACATTCTCTGAGAAGGAAGTTATTGTAAATTTTACGTCTTTAACAGATTGTGATGCATATAGTATTTTGCTTACCCAGTTTTGTTTTCTCGTGTGTAGCCCTCGCAACAAACATCCACCATTGCCGTGTAAGTCTGAAAATTCAAATTTTTTATATATTCTTCTCGATTGTAAGGTCACAATGAAGATAACTCGAAAAGTACAAAATAATTTTACCTCTCTGACCGTACGTAATACTAGTGGATTTGTTGCTGGTATGCAATCCACATTAGTGCAGTTAGCATCGATGGGATACTTTCGCATGGGTACCAATGCTATACGCACTTTCGTTTGTCTGAAACAAATAATTTTATTTTATTTGTATTTGTTTTATTTTATATATATTATAATTATAATAATTATATATATTGTTTAAAATATATATCCTTTTCTCAGGTTACCACAGTAAGATCGTAAAATTGTATAGGGAATCTTTTTGCTAAAACAAAAGGTTTTATGTTTGCGATACAGTATAACGTGGTCCCTACTCCCAATTATGCTAAACTTATGTTAAAAGAAAAAACTGATGATAACTTCTATCGAAAATGCGATTCAAGCTCGGACACATTCGACCACATTATCTTAAGATATTCTATAATAATACCAAGCAAATGCCTAAACTATCTGTACATATACAGCAAAGCTTTTCATTCTAATATAGGCTGATCTCTAAGACTCTAAGATAAGATCTCTAAGATATCAAATGCTGTGCTAAAAAGCACCAAGAATGGAAAAAATGGTGAATTTCCAATCGTCGATGGATGGAATCATTCAGCTTATCTTCTTGATGTTGCTATTCGGCATAATGGTAACAATAAATAAAGGTATGCAGAAGAGATAAGCAACTATAAGCCTATTTTTTTGTAAAAATGCCGCAAAAGAACAACATAATATAAGCACTACTGGACCATGACAACTATGGAAAAAACGGAAATTTTTGTTTTAATAGCTGACAGGCTTATAATGTAAATACTCACATACATATATTTGCGAACCACGTAAATTTAAAGTTAAAGTTTTGAAAATGAATAATAATTTTTTAACACTAAAATAATAAGTTGAAATTAATTAATTAATTAAATTAATTAATCATTGAAATTAAATTTAAGCCCTTCAAAGCTTTGTGAACAAAGTCCAGAACTGAATCTAGAGAAGAGCTCTTATTCTGTTCTGGTGACAGAAATTCTATATGTAATAAGATTCTTCGGTGCGTTTTTAAGATTGGACAGAACTTGCATAGTAGTTTTTTTGATGCATAATCTATATTCCGAATTAGCAGATAATCGTAGTTCATGAAGGTGATATTTCAGACCATAATGACTCGTAATGCAACCCTTAAATTATCTTAAGAATGTTTTTGTTTGTAGAAGTACGGTTTGATCAAGTAAGCTAATTTTTTATTTGTAACTAGAATAGAATAGTGCAGAACTTATATTCATCAACCAGTCATTCATTTAATAAGGAAATTTCATGAACATATTTTACACAATTTGAAAACACAGTTCTTAATAGTCACATACCGTTTTGCTTATACAACATTTCATGGAGAAATATAATATCACTCTAATGCCACCACCAAGAGATATACATTATATTTAGTATTTTGCAATATTTTGCTTTTACTCATACTGAAAAATACACTGACAGTATAATATTTTAATTGTAGTCTTAATAGGTCAGTGCGTTTAAAACCACATCTAAGAAGGTGTGTCTAACTGGAAACTATAGTAGCATAAATTCATAACCACAATATCAGAAACCACTCTGAAGGAAATCAATTAAACAATATAGTTAAAAACAAGAGTGGCGCGGATGAAAACATTGCTTCACATGTTGTTAGAGCCAAAGCCGCATTTGATATGCTGCGAAACGTATAGCGATACGGCCAGATCACACAAAAAACAAAGCTCAGGATATTCAACTCTAACGTGAAAGCAATATTGTATTATGGCTCTGTAACCTGGAAATGCTCAAAATCAATTGAACAGAAAATCCAAGTCTTTATAAACAAGTGCATACGGCAGATTCTTAAAATATTGCAATACTCGAAACAGCTTGGTATGGTCAAGCAAGCTTTAATAAATTAACAAAAAATTTTGTTGTTTTCTTTTCATTTCTATTCGAACACTTCTAACTTTTAAATTTTTTTTTTTATTAATTTCGTTATCAATTTATTTTTTAAGCTCTTTACATATTTTATATATTTAAAATTGAGAATAAGATTTAAATCAAATCCTTTAAATGGATAATTATATCAAACGAAGAACTTTGGGAGCGAACAGATCAAGTATGTACACGTACTGATGTTAAAAAACTTGAATGGAAGTGGATAGGGCATACTCTCCGCAAAAATAACATCTGTATTGCGAAACAAACACTAAGATGGACTGTTGTGAACTGTTGAAGGTGAATATGTAGAGAAGCAAGCAATAGAGTGAGATTTAAAGGGATTGTTGAGGCCATATGCTACACTGGCAGTAGAGGGCTACAGTAATTTAACATTGAAGATGTCATGCATATATTTTATATGGACTTCTAAATATATTTTATCGATATTAACACTTTATTGACTGCACTGTATAATTATAGTAGCAACTAGTAGATATGAGTTATCAAATCAAATATCATATGTAAAGTTTTTGTTTTGGAAACCAGTGGTTAGAATTAGAAGATGATATGCATGAGCTCTATATTTTTTACTTGGTGAAACCATTATAGTTTTATTATAATTATATTATAATTTTGCATATTATTCAGACTACTTACGGAACTTGTTCTTCACATGTTAGTATGAGACAAATTTCTATAACAAGTACAGTACAAAACGTCAAGAATCTCCACATTTTCACTAACTAAAAATATTTATTCACTTAATTTAAAAAAAAAAATTTTTAATTTAAAATTTTTATTGTATTTAATATATTTTAATAGACTACATAAATTCACAATATGAATTTTAATACATTTTTAATGCAATTTTTTATTATTTTATTATTTTAATGCAAGTTAATGCAAGAACTTTTCACTTAAGCGCTCGATCAAAAATTAAATAACAAATTAAGCAATTTTGCAAATTATTAAGAAGACGCAAATGCTGGCGGTCACTTATCTACATATCATCAACTTTTCTATATGAAATTAATCTATAAAAATAATATTATTTTCAAAAAATAAAAAATTAATAAAAAGGAAAATTTTTTTATGTCTCATATCTTCTGGTTGCATTCAAATTCATTGAACTTCAGATTAATAAAAAATCAAAGATAGATTGCACTGTTCTGCTTCTTGCATTCAGCAACCGATTTCATTTGCTTCTATTCCATATTCCAGACATTCCATTTAACATATACCAGACAATTTATGTACTATATACTCCTTCTTCGTATCAGATAACAGAATATAAGTACCATTAAAGTTCTTTACTCTCAATGCACTCTGATTTTATTTCATTACGCATTGCTTTCAATATATATTTTCAGAGCTTAAAAGAATTCTGTTTTCAATGTAATTTTTATTAATAATATTTCATTCTCATACATATATATATACATATACACTAATGTATAATAAGAGAGTTTACTGTAGAAGCAGTTTTCAGTCCGATGTGAGTGCCATATATTAGAGACATAATTTATTATTTGATCAAAACATAAATTGCAGGCGTACAATCAACATCCACAATTTCTGGGTCAAACCAAAACTGATAATTTTGCAATGCCATTGACAGCAATCTTAGCGTGATACCAATTCTATCTCCACACATGTAACTGCACACATTTTAATGGAAAAATATTTTATATATATATATGATATACAAGTATATTTTTACATTTCATTCCCATCACAAAAAGTTGATCCATATAACGGAGTGGCTCACAGAGTATTGTACCACTTTAATTGTACAATAACATCTAATCAACTTATTGTCTTCTCATAATACAGATTGTAGATCACAAATTTTCAATGAGAAAATCAAACTCTCTTATTGAGATGCCCCGTAGAGATATCAATCTTGCAGTAGATTTACTTACAGGTCATTGCATTATAGAAGAATAAACCTCCCTTTCAGTCATATTTGTCACAGTTGTGTAGAGGACGAAGGAAGTGCCTCCCACTTGCTTTGCTTCTGTCTAGCACATGCGCGGCGCCACCTTATCACTTTAGCGGCCTTCTTTTTCGAGGATCTTAGCGAACTACAGGACTTATCTCTTAATAGCATTATAAGCTTTTCTAAAGGTTCTAAGTGGTTTTAACCTTTGGATTTTTTAATAATACGATAGAACAGTGGGTCTATAAGCCTAACTGGATCCTTGCGATCGCCAGTATAACCTAACTTAACCTAATCTATCTATTATATATTTGGAAAATGTTATAGCTAACGTAATTTTTGAAGTGTACATTAATTTTTTCATATTAAATATTTTCTTATTCCAAGAGTCTGAATCTAGTAGGTTTTTGTTCCTTAGATGTAATATAATTTATTGTATATGTATATGTTTTTAAAATAAAAATAAGAAAAATATTTATTGTTAAAATTTTTTAAATTAAATTAATTGATAAATTAAAATAAATAGTTTAATTGACTGATAAATTTAGTTGAATAGTTAAATTTTTTTGTTTTGTATTTTGATTCTTATCAGCTTACAGACCCGAACAATTAAACGCATTTATTTAAAAATGTTGGCAAATATTTCGTTCTTTATTAAGAACTTCATCAGTGCTATATAATAACAAACATTAATTTAAAGATAAAATACTAACATCCAAATATATATACCTTATTTTTTATAAAATGCAATAATTTTCCTGTTCCACAATAGTCATTAGTAATTAAAATTGTATTAACAAATAAAAATAAAAAATTAAAACAATTAAAATTCACACATTAAAAATTAATAAACAATTTTTGGACATAAATAACGAGCATAACAAAACTAAAAAATTTTTTTTAATAATAATATTCCGCCAAAAATATTGATAATAATAAACGTTCTCTTTTTTATATCTCTTATTACTCAATAAGAAACTTAACAGCTGACTTTTATTTTCATTTATCTCTTATTTTTGATTAGCTTGTATTTATCCAATAAATTAGAGTAAAGTGTGCTAAAATTATCCGTGTCTCTCTTGTAGTTTACCACCTGTTCATTATTTAATATGATGTGAATAACTTCACTCATTAATCTTTTATGATAATTATTTTCAATTTCCAGAATTATTACTTCATCAAAGTTAAAGCTATGTCCTTTAGAAATAGAATGTTCAGAAAGAGCTGTTTTTTTCCCATCATCTTTACGTTTACACGTACTTTTATGTTCACCAACTCTTTTTGCCAATCTTTGTTTGGTTGTGCCTATATAAGCTCTATTGCAATCATTACAATTGATCTTATAAATAAGATTTGACAAATTTTCTTTCTTTTCTTTGTCTTTAATCTTTGAGAATAAATTTCCTGTTGTTTTCAAGTTAAATAGTTAAATATAGTTAAATTGACAAAATGGTTCGCATAAATCTTTAGATACTTCGTCGTACTTGGGGAAATGTACTTAACGATCAGCGATTATCTGCTTTAGTCGAGATTATAAAAGAGTTGATTGCCGCTACTGGTTCCCTTTATGGGTTCAGGCATTTCATTGTTTTAAATATGGAAAAACTATTATTTCTTATTAAGTAAGTAATACTAAGTTAATAATCTTTTATTTGGCTATATCATCTTTTTCTTGAATTGATTTACATCAAAATATTTTATACCTATATGCATCAGGCTCACGCTGCAATGGATCTACTTCCTGAGTCAGAACGCGAATTAAAACTATTTTAGTTTTTTTTTTGTTTTGTTTCCTTGAAAACTTGTTTGTATATTATAAGTTTGTTTTACTGAAATACTTTAGATCTTCTTCCAATAAGCCAAGGTAGTTTTTTGGATCTAGTATTTAGCTCAGTTAGTTTTTTCTTGACATGTAACTTCCATCTCATCTCAGTTTGGCCTCTGAGTTCAATACCAGATATTTTGCAAAATTAGCAACTGGAAATTTTACGTTGTTTATAAATAAAGTAAGAAAAGTCTACGTGGTTAGATTTTTACTGTCACTTTCTATTTATTAGTACATTGTTCAATTTCTTGAAGAGCAATTTGTAGCTTGATGGTAGATACCTTGCTGTTTGGGTCTGTAGCCATTAGTACCGTGTCATCTGCAAAAGTTCCGACAATACAACTTGAGTTCATTGGCAAGTCATATGTGTACAGCAGGTAGAACAATGTTCGAAATATTTAAAGGTTTTAAACTCCGAATATAGTTTCTGGACTGCAAGTGTCAGGAATTGAATAAGTTAAAATTAAAAGCATGGACTCGCATGTTTTCACAAAAACATAAAGTATACTTAATTAATAGTTTCATTAATTTTTGTTAATTTTAACTTTCAATTCCTAACACTTTCAGTTCAAAAATTATTTTCAGACTAACGGTCCGGTCAATTATTTTTAAAGACCAATGATAATGCATATTTGACAATATTAGAAAGAGTGTTATTTTCAATCTAGGTTACTATCTCAGTTATCGATTTTATTCATACTCATACTTTCTATGGTTCGTAAATTCTTATACCTTAGGTTTTGAAATGAAGTAATGAAATAACACCAATTACCAGTAAGAGAAGAAGTACTTTACAGCTTTCTGAGGTAAGCTACTTGATGCTTACACATAACATATTACCGACCATTGTACATTTCCAACCCAAGATTGATTGCAATTCTTACCATACGACTACCACCGGATGAAAGACTCGTACATAATGGTAAGCTTGCATATCGTTGTGTATGTTACATACCATTGACTGCATACGGTAGCTTTCACTATCGTTTACCAAAGATCTTGTTAAAAATATTGTATGCAGCCAGTCCATTCTTTGTATTTTCTTTAAAATTAAGATGGAAGCAGTCGAGAAAGAAACGTGAACACCCAGCTTCTAAGTAAAGATAAAACGCTACTTCATTCAACCTAAGTTAAGACGATTTAGGTACTACAGCTTTTCTCAGAACAATTCCTCAGCTGTTGCTCTCAGCTTAATCAAAAAACTTGCAAATTGGCGATTCTTTGACTCTACTAATCGTTGACAGGCATTTAACTAAGATTAAAATAGGCACCTCAACAGCGCAGGTATCAACATTTCTTCTTTCCGCTTTAAAGAACTTTAAACTCTCATTAACTACCAATAGCCACAGAAGAAAGAACAATAGTTCTCTTACTTAAAGAATCAGTTCCCAGAGTAGCATTGATGACTCTGCTCACTAGCATTTTACTAATCCAAGTCAGTATGAGGTCTTTAACTACGTTCTTTACCATTACTTTACGGAGCGCTATTGAATGTTCTGCTAAGTCAAGCAATTGGTGTTTACCAATTACCTAAATATACCCCTAAATTAGTAGGGTTAGGTTAACCCGAATGACCGTAAGCTACTTATAAAACAATTGAACAATTGAATTGATACCAAATAATGCTAGGCCTCTATGCAGATTTTGTTGTGTCCTTTCTTGACAATCCAAAGAGTACTTGAAGTCCTATTCACATGACAAAGTTGTTTAATTTTCTTTAACATATATTTTATAATTTTGGAAACATTGTATTTGTTTCAAAAATAATTGTTAGAAAATTAATGTTACACTTTCTATGCAAAATAATTTTGGTGATAAATCCACAATTAAGTTCATATTTTTTCATGCTTTGAATATTTGAAACAGCCCTATAAGCAGATGGAATGTACTCAGTAATCACTTAGAATATTTTTAACTCTTAAGAGCCAGCAAGCATTTTTTAAAGGTTTTTTGAAGTGTTTCTCCAGAAGAGTATGGAACCTAAACCATGTGTGACGGTCTACTCATCTCAATAAATTCGACTAAATTTGAAAAAAATGCAATGGAA